AGTGTAGGTCGAAGGTTATGTGGCTGGGTTAGTGTCCCAGTCCCTCTACTAGAAGCCTTCCCTGCTCACAGGAAATGACCTACCTATTCAGGCTACATATCTGCTATTGCTAGGAGTCTTAGCTGAGGTCATTCTTGTAGATTCCTGGGAGTTTCCCTTGCCCCAGGTTTCTACCTGACTCCAAAATGCCCCCCTTTTCCAATCGACTCTATCAGTACTCCCCCCAAACTTGACTGCAATTTCCCCTCCCTCCTCTCCTTCCAGTCTCGCCCCCCGCCCCCACATCCCACCTTCCCTTTTCTCCCCTCCTCCTTAGTTTCTCTTCAGAAAAGGGCAGACCTCCCGTGGATATTACCAGCCACGGAGAATCAAGTTGCAGTAGCAATAGGCAATTCCTCTCCTAGTAAGGCTGGATAAGGCAACCAGTAAGAGAAAAGGGTCTCAGAAGCAGACAACAGAGTCAGAGACAGCCCCCTGCTCCCGCTGTTAGAAGTTCCACAAGAAGACCAAGATACATAACTGTAACACATGTGCAGAGTGCCTAGGTCAGTCCCCTGCAGGCTCCCTGGTTGTCAGTCCAGTCTCTGTACTCAATTCTTAATATTTTGTTATTTGCGTTTTCCTCTCTCTAAATGCAGAGAAACACATATGTACGGTCTCTCCATCCCTCTCTCCTCTCCACCCCTGTCTTTTGCTCTGTGGCCTCCCTCTTCCCACATGTGAAGATACGTGTATGTACACAGACATGCACACACAATATTATTGGAACCATTTAGAAGTCGTGTTACAGATGTAACACACCATTAAATAATCCAGATGTGTACTTAAAAATAAGGCATCCACTCACTTCACTACATTACCATCACCACACCTCGGAAAGTTAACGCCCAATCCAAAATTTATTCAATAGTCTGCCCGTGTTCAGCTGCATAGCCTTATTTACTTTTCCTTCTAGAATCTAGAATCCAGTTAAAGCTCATACATTTGGTCAGCATATATCTTTAATTACCAGGGGTTTTTTGTAGCAATGATTGTTTTCAAGTCTCTATAAAGCTCCCCAAAAGATTACTAAATGGATATTAGCTGTGTGTAAGTGGGAACTACATATAATAGACATTGTAGTAAATCTGTGCCTCCCACTTCTCCTGGGGGATTGACACAGTGTTAAATGGTTTAGCTCTGAACTTGAGCTACCAAGATGAGGGCTTTGCTGGAAATCGTAAATGTGGAGAGGTCTCAGTGGGTAGAGAAGGCAGATGAGAAAGTACGGGATGCATCCTTTGTAATTAAGAACGTGGTTGTTCTTGCCTGCGCCAGTGGCTGGCCTTGGTTAGCTCTTGGCTCGGTGGCTCTTCCTTCTGGCTTTGCCTCTGACTAGGGCTTGGCTCTTTTCCAGCATCATTAGGTTACAGCAAGGAGTTGGAAACAGACCTGCAGTCATTTAAATCTTCCAGCCCAAATCGCCCCTGCTGGCTGCCATACAGAGCTTGTATGTTTGAAGGCTGTGTGCTGAATGGCGTGCCGTGTTCCAGGGTGCACGTGTGCATCTGGGAACGTGTAGAGGAAGAATATCTCCTTGTTTGTACTCACGATCCTGGATCCAGGATGCCATAGTCCTGGGGGACTGCGTGGAGGTCAGAGGCCTGTCCTTCATTGTGGTCACTGATGGTTCCTAGAGAGCACCTACTCACTTCCTCCCTTTCCTGAGAGGCACTCCAATCCAGAAGACACTCAGATGGCCACTGAAGCCCACCTGGCATCTGTACTGGTCACTGCCTTGTTTGGAGTTGCCTTCTTCAGGAAAGGGGATGTTTACGCCTCTGAAATGTGGACTTGCAAAGCAGGGGTGTGCCTTATTCTGAACATGGCAGCCTCTGAGCCAGTGTGGTCTTTTGAGAGTTTCAGAGCCAAAAAGAATGAGAGAGAGACAGAGACAGAGAGAGGGGGAGGGAGGGAGGGGGGAGGGAGGGAGGGGGGATGGATGCGAGGACATACTTGTGTTAGGCAAACAGGAAAGAGAAAAACCAAGGCTGGGAAGGAGGTATAGAGGGAAAGAGGGAGAGATGGAGAGGAGGAGGGCAGGATTTAAGGATGGATGAATAAGCATAAAGAACTAGGAACTGGAGAGGTGGGAACAAGAATTGCTGCTTTGAGGTCTTAGAGTTTTTACCTCTGGACAATCCCCATTCCATCTCTGTGATGAGTTAGCTGGGATGCAAGATTAACTGGTTGATTCAGTGTGATGTGTAATTGCTCTGTGTCTCAGCTGCCCCTGGCTCCTGCAGCCTGCTTTCTACATCTGTAAGACCCTCTGAGATCAGTCCTACCCTCCACAGTCCCACTGTCCTTTGGTACTGACCTCGAATTCTGTGCTTGGATTCATCAGACATACCACACTGTTTTGCCGCCTGCTTCTTTTGTTGATTGTAATCTTGGACCATTGCATAATTGTTCTAGGCTGCAGATCACTCTTCTGTCAGTTTAGGATAAGGTGGGCAGGGATTAAAAGAGTTAATATAATAAATGCGGCCCTTGGGAGGATGTTGGTCATGTAATATGGGCCATAGAAAGGCCAACAACTCTCTACTATTGCTCTTTAGAGCCCAAGCATGTTAATTTTTATTGCCACATTAAAAATGACCATAAACGAGCATCTCAGAGCAATACCCATTTGTTACCTCACATTGTCCATAGATTAAATGTCTGGATAGGGTGAGACAGGGCTCTTTTTGCTCAGAATATCACAGGGCTGAAATCAAGATGCCTGCAAGAGTGCAACCCGGATCGTCTCCCAAGCCCATCCCAAGTTCTTGGCGGTTGATGACATTCAAGCCTTTGCAGCTGTGGCATTCAGGGCCAGCAGGAACTCTTATATCACCCTCTGTTTAAAAGCTCCCTGATTACATCAGTGCCAATCAGATGATCTTTCTCTTGGTTAACTTAGAGGCAATTGTTTAGTGCCATAACCTTATCACAGTCATGGCTTTCCTTTGTTCTCAAGGGGAGATTACCTAGAGTGTGTTCAGCTGGAGCAGGGTTCTTTGGGGCCTGAGAGTCCTGCCTACACACTGGGTAATTAAAAATATTATCTTTGCTGATCCCTTTGAACTACCTGGGGTGAAGTGGGTAATCACCACCCTCAGTTCAGTTGTTTACAGCAGTTTCTGTCAGCATTCAGAGGGTTTCTCATTGATGTGGCTCCTGGGACCTGATAGCCCTCATCCTGCAGTTCTTAAAAATTGATGGAGTCAGTCCTCAAGAAGAGGACAATTAGAGATTCGAGGCAATGAATCTGTTGACCAGTTGTCCTGGGGTCTTCAAAGGATGACCCGCACAGTTTGCATTCACTTTCAGAACCATTCATTTATTCCTAGGACCTCCCATAGATGAGCAGCCCAGATGGAATCCTCCTTAATGGAGAGTACAGTTGTCAGCCTGTCCTGCTCCTCTGCTGGTTCTCAGTGAATCTGTGCCTGCCAGGGCATGTTCAGCAGGAGGAGGAGGGTCTTTGCATTGTTCTCAGAAGTCTTCCTTGCTCTCAGTTTCCTTCCCAATCAAGTCTAGATTTTTTTTTTAATTAATTTTTAGCAAACCAGGTAGCGGGTTTCTTCAGGACATCTTCCTGTATGGCATTGTATCTTGTGCCCTGCTCTTCTCCCCCACTCCCCCTACCAGCTGTCCCCCCCCCCACACACACCAAATACTCTAGAGATGGCAGTGGAATGAGTGTGACATGAAAGAAGGGACCAGATTGCTTTTATCTTGTAATTCATCTCACATTCCATTAAAAGGGTATTTTTAGCCATGACCCATAATGAATGTATGAAGGGTGTAAAAACCTGAAAAGAATATATTTAAATTAATTAATAAGAAAAACTTGAGGATGAGAACACCTGAGGCAACAAAACCTTTTATTATTTTCAAATTATCTATTTTTACAATGTCTTCTTTTGTGTGTGCGGTGTATGTTTTTGTGTACGTGCATGCATGAAGTTGCATGTGTACACATGTTGGTGGAGGCCAAAGGTCAATGTTATGCCTCTTTCTCTGTCCCTGTTTATTAGTTACTTTTCTGTTGTTGTTATGAAATGCCATGGCCCACGGAACTTAGACAGCATTAAATTGGGCTTATGGTTTCAGAGGGTTAGAGTCCATGATGGCAGTGTAAAGACAAGGCAGCTGAGAGCTCACATCTTGACCTGTCATCGGGAGGCAGAGAGAGCACGCTGGGACCGGTGGAGTCTTTTGAAGCCTCACAGGCTACCCCCACTGACACACTTCCTCCAACAAGATCACACCTCCTCCTCCTTCCCAAACAGTTCCACTACTGGGGACTAACCTTGCAAATACATGAACCCATGGAGACCATTCTCGTTCAAACCAACACAACAGTCCACCTTATTTTTCTGATACAAGATCTCTTATTGATCCTGAAGCTTACCAGGAATCACCAGGAGTCCTTCTGCCTCCAGCTTGCTAGAGCTTGGATTTCAGGCGTATGCCATCATGCCTGGTTTTTCCCTTGGGCACTGGGGATATGAACGTGGGGCCTCATGCTTGTTCAGCAAACACCCAACAGCTAAGCCATCCCCTGCTCTAATTGTATTGTTAAAGTATCTATTGAAGCCAAGTTCTAAGCAATGAGACGTGGGGAAACGATTTAGAAGCCATGGAAAATACCTGGCTGTTTAAAGTACTCTCCCTCAAAAAGATGCTATGTTCTCTTTATAGCGGCATTTGACTTACAGTTGTTTACAGATGCATCAAGCCAAGGGGAAAATTGAATTTGGCGTGCCTAGGATTTTGGAAACCTGAAGTGTCTGTTTATTCTGGTGTTTCCTAACTGCAGTTTTGTTGTGTGACACACCATGATTTAGATGTGACTGTAGCAGCCATGATGGCCGGCATCTTGACAATAGCACTTGGGGCTATTGATGAAGTGGGGTGAAGTGGGACGTCATAATCTAAAATAACACTTGGGCTTCTTTGCTTCCTTCCAGGACAATACCATCTTATTCTTGAGGGGCTGTAAAGAGCTTGGCCTTAAAGAATCTCAACTCTTTGACCCAAGTGACCTCCAGGATACGTCCAGCAGGGTCACTGTCAAGTGAGTAATGCCTGATTTATGCTTAAAGGAAACCCTTGATGTTTCGATTTGCAGTTTTGTGAGGATGTTGTAAATTCTAAGAGGTAGAAGATTACATGTTCCTAATAAAATAAAAACACACAAGCAAAAGTCAAGCTTTCGCAACAGAACACAGTGTCTTGTCCGCTGTGTGGAGCTCTGATTCTGAGCTAATATAATTTTTCAAATGCGTATAGAACCAGAATTTTGAAGAAGAGAAAACATTAAGTAGAATTTAGCGGTGAGGCTACAGAGAAATGTGCACAAAATCTGTGCGCCTTAGACAGGAACCCCGTTCTTGGCTCCCGTGGGACAGTTGAATAGGCTCTTGGCAGACTGCACCGGGCACAAACAGATTGAGTGCTGTTGATGATGTGGAGTAAGGTGAGCTGGCTCCTTCATTTACACTTGTAGCCATTTTCTCCCATGTGACAGTGATGAAGCTTTTCAGAGATGGCTCATTGGCCTCTTGGCCATTTCTACCTATATCTGTTTAGTGAAGCATATTTGGGGCAAAGAACTCTTGCAGTAGGATGCGTTTCTGTATAAAGAGATAGCTCATGACCAGAGTGAGAAGATCCATCCTTATGAGGAAGCAAAAATAAGTTGCCTGTAGTTCGGGAGTCCTGCAGAGTCTGTGATGTCATATAAAACATTTGTCATTTTATTCAAACAGTATATAGTGTGAGTATGGTTGAGCAATAAGCGGGATTCTCTCCTGGGGCTGGAGAGATGGCACAGTGGTTAGGAGGGGGTCCCACTCTGGCAGAGGACGCCGGCTCAATTCCCAGCACTCATGTTAGGCAACTTACAACCTCCTATAACTCCAGCTCCAGAGGATCTAGCTCTCTCTTCAAGCCTCTGTGGGCACCTACATTCATGTACACATACCCATGCACTGATACACACACACACACACACACACACACACACACACACACACACACACACACACATATATAATTTAAAAATAAATCTTTTCAAAAACATCTAAAAGTAAGGTGTGATGCCATATCTTGTAATTGCAACACTTGGGAAACAGAGGTAGGAGGATCTCTACAAGACTAAGGCCAGCCTGGTTTACATAATGCATACACCAAATAAACCAGGGCTCCATAAGGGCAACCCGGTCACAAACAACAGCAATAACAACAAGACTCAATTAGCTGAATTGAGTCGAGGGGATCTGGGATTTGATAGTTTGGGGCAGTGCCATCTTATCATGGAAGAACACAAAAGGGAAAGAAGCCACAGCTTAGAGGATTTTTGTGGTGGTGGTGTTGTTCATAATTACGATGATGTTGTTGATTTCATAATTACGATGACAGGAGACCTGAAACTCCTGAATGAATTGGAGTTGGGAAGTTTACAGTGGATTTTATGATGTGTGGCTGGGAACAAGGAGAGCCAGCCATGATGGATGATCTGGAGTTCCTTCTGTGTTTTTAATGTGCTGTTCTTTATAGTACTTCTCATGGAAAGTGGATGTTGAGTGAAAAAAATCCATAAAAGGTGTAATATTTCACTGTAGACACCTTCATAGGCGTCACTGTAACCATCTCAGGCTCCATTTGTTATCAAGCCTAAATCCGGCCTCTGCTAAGCTCGTCTTCACTTTGGGAAATTGCTTTAAGTTCTGCCTCATCTCGTGTTCCGGTTTCACCTGCTTGGCAGGTGACCAGAAACAATAGCAACTGTGCAACATCATAGGTAATAATAGTCACACACACGTTGCTTGGAGGGTGAAGGCAAGTTTACTCTGGTGGTTTAACTCCTTTTTTAAAAAAAAAAAATTTTTTTTTAAATTTTTGACTACCTTTAAACAATCAATTACCGGAGCAGGAGAGTTCTGAGGCCAGTTGGTTTCAGAAACGAAAACAGAAACTCAGATCTTCACCCCGCTCGTCTGCGACAACGAGGGAATCAGAAACCTGGGTCGAGCTCCAGGTCTGGAGCTGCCTGGACCTCTGGCTTGCTGAGCACCTTTGCTTAGCACTGTGCTGTCCCCTGCAGAGGAGGACCGGATCAAATCGGTCCGAATGTGACTCTAAGTAAAGCTTGGTCATGGTAGACCTGGGAAGACAAGGGGGTCAACTTCTAAAGGGATGGGTTAGCTCAGAGACACGGGAAGCTACTGGCCGGGAGAAGGTCACTGAGGCCAGTCACAAGTGGTCACTGTCCCTTTGTTTACTACGGCGGCATCTTCATCTTTTCTTGTCCTCTTGGTCTTTTCTTTTTTCTGTCTTCTCCTTCCTCTGCCTCCCACCTCCCTTCCCTTCTTTACTTTCTTCTCATCTACCTCCCCTTTTGCATTTCTTCTGCATTCCTTCCCTTTTTAAAATGCCCTTCCCTTGGACACTGGAGTCTCTAGATACTGCTTCCCATCACCTTCCCTTATATCTGTATCCCTCCAGTCAGCCATTGAACAAAGATTCACTCAATAGCTCCTGTGAGGAAAACGCACAAATAAGATGACCAGCGTCCTCTGTTCATGTTGAACTTACACTGCAGTGCCAATAACTTAGACACACATTGAGTAAGAAAGAAAATAACTATGAGAGTGCTGGGGAGAGCATAAAATAGTGAGGCAGGAAAGCCAGTGGTCCGTCTGGAGGGGTTCAAGGATAGCCTATCTGAAGGGGTGGCTTTTCAGCATCAGCCCTGGGGAGATTTGCTGGATGTTTGGGGTGGAGGCAAAGCAAGTAAGAGGCCAAGGGAGAAGAAGCTGTTGGGGCTTCAAAGGACCCAGTGAGGGTGGAGGGTTGTGCTGATGGGCAGGTGTGGTGGGAGCAGTCATCACAGGCAACGGGGCGTTGGACTTGGAATCATTTTGTAGGAAGGTTGTCTCACCAGATTGGCATTTAGAAAATCATAAAGAAGGCCGGGCGGTGGTGGCGCACGCCTTTAATCCCAGCACTTGGGAGGCAGAGCCAGGTGGATCTCTATGAGTTCGAGGCCAGCCTGGACTACCAAGTGAGTTCCAGGAAAGGCGCAAAGCTACACAGAGAAACCCTGTCTCAAAAAACCAAAAAAAAAAAAAAAAAAAAAGAAAATCATAAAGAATTTATACTCAAATTATGTCACAAATTAATTTGTGGAGCTCAGAAAGGCATTGCTTCTGGGTTTAGCAGGAGCGTAGGAGTGGAGCGTGGACTAAACTGTTAGCTTCACAGTGTTTTCATAGGTGATTCTGCTTTCTGGCACCAGTCGGGGACTAGTTTTTAGAGTGTTGATTTTGTAGCGCAGAGAGATCCGAGTACCACGGTTGTCATTCTCTGGTTTCCCTTCTGAGAGCCGAGCAGCTCGCCGCAGAGATGGAGAGCATCATTTTGACGAGAGTTTGTAGCATCATCACGGAGATACAGGATCAGAGATAGATCCCATGGGGGAAATTTGTATTTTTTAAAATTGTCTTTAAAAAATAAAAACTCTAGTTTTAAGTAAGGTACTTTTTCTTACCTTTTCTGTCCAAATGTAACTTGGGTAGAAAAAAAAAATTAAGAGGAAAAACCCTGGAGATTATTACAATACTGACTGTGTAATTGCATGAACCCTACCTGTAATGAATGCCAGACAACTTTGATGGAAATGGAAGCACAGTGAGGGAGGGGTGTGCGGCGCAGAGCGGAGCCCCCCCCCGGGGGGGGGGCACAGTGCAGACCATCCAGGGAATCAACACAGTCGCACAGAAGTGTGGAGAGGCTGTGGATGGCTCCTGGGGCTGGAAGTCTCCTTAAAAAATGGGAAGTATTCCAAGTAATTGGTGGTTACAAGAAAACCACTGTACAAATATTTTGTGAGGTCCTACTGTGTGCCACATATAACGTTTTAGCACCCAGTCACAGTTTCAGTCAGTGAACTTTTATTGTCAATGCAGAAAAAATGGTTGTTTTTTTCCACATTCTTGTTTTCCTAAGACATTTTAGATCTTTCTTGGATTTTTTTTAATCTTTCCATTATTAAATGGAAAAAAAATCTTAGCAGATATTTAAGCTGAGAATAGCATGCCATTACTTTCCTGTTAAACTCAAAAGTATAGAAACATTTCCTTGAACAAATGCAAATTGGATGGCTTCTTGTCTTAACTGAAGCCCTGGATCCTGTGCTGCTCTCTACAGAATGGGACTAATGTTGACTGGTCCTTCCAATATCAATAACTTAAGCCTGTCCACCTATCCATCATACTTAGTTTGTTAGAATATACTAGCAGCAAGTAATCACGGTCTAAATGCTTTGCAGTGTTCTCGACTAGTTTATACGATGGAATTTCTACTCCCTACACCTCACCAAAGTGACCAGAGAAAAGAAATCCAGCATTCATTTTCCTAATATTTATTTGTTGATGTGTTCATGGAGCTTTCAAATACCTTTAGAAATATTTTGATTTTCATGGTGTGAATAGTCAGAGCTTTGGTGAGTTTTAGTTAGAGAATAAACGTTATTATGTGTTTTTTTTAACACATGTGCATACATTTGAAAATAGCATGCATATTTTCCTGTTTATGACCAATTTTTCATTCTAATTTGTAGCCAGGGGTGGGGTGGGGAGAAACCATTTAGATAGTACAGCTTCTTACACATGTATTTTCAGGTCTGTTTCACTAAGTTGTCAGACCTGTATTAAATGCATGAAGAAGACTTAGGAGATGTGGTCAAATTTCCTTCAAGACAGTATCTTCAACAATCAAGTTTGTAAATTCAAATATAAATAGTCCCAGTTTTAAATGGAATTCTCATCTTTCATATGTTAAAAAGCATTTACCTTTCCTGGCATCCTGCAAGACTTCAATCCTCCCTGGTCCTCCTATGGGTTTTTGTTTGTTTGTTTATTGTTTTTCCTGCAAGTGAAACTACCAGCCATAGGCCTTAAAAAGCCTGCCATATTCTTCTGATTTTATTTTATGTATTTTTTGCAAGTGTGTCTTTGAGGTGTTTAAGGAAAGACCACACTGAAGAAACTGCTATTCTAATAATGTTTTGTTTTTCTTTCCTGACCTAGGAACCTTGATTATAGCCGGAAGCTAAAAAATGTAAGTGTTTTGACATCTCTCTCTAAGTTTGTATACTTTTGACTTTTAATGGTCCAAGGTTGATGTTTAGCTAAATGCAGTGCCTCTAAAAAGCCTCATTAGAAAGATTCTTTCTTAGGAAAAATGTATATGCATCTCTTATAGAATAGTTAATAACTATGCTAGAGCTAAACAGAGTAGATTTGGAGGTTTTGCTCTCACCAGAGTTCAGTCTAGAAACAAACAAATAAAAGCTTGTGTTCCGTGGCGGTTCATTTTCTTAACACACACATCGATAGGTTTCAACATTAACATTAGCCATTTTCATTGTGGCCCAGATGGGATCTCAGTCAGCACACGTTAGTTATATTATGGTTCTAGTTAATGTCCTTACATTCGGTATTGTCTGTTCTCTGGGAATTTATTTGTAAGAACTCAGTTAATAAAAGACCTTCTGGAAGTTTTGAAGGATTCATGATGTAAGAGTTTCCCACAGCGGTAGAAAACTGAACCGCATCATAATGCTCATGCACATAGCTATACTTCGGGCCCATGGCCAGCTGGACCCATATGCCTATGTCCCATTATCCAGAGCATTTTCTGGCCTGCCACGGGGAAGGTAGTGCAATAAGTCCTTTCCAGCATAGATGAAGCAAAAAGACAGAATGTGAACATAAAGTCTAGGCTTTTGCATGGGCTTCTCATCCCTATGATTCAGCTAAGGAGCATATCTTTAGCCAATCCCTGATTTTTTTTTTTTTCTCCAACTCAAAGTAAAGAAGATTTTTGTTTTTGTGGACAGTTCTTTGGAGAGACAGCATAAAACAAATGTAGGACAGTAACCTCAGACCACTGGATATCCATGAACAGTCCTCAGCATCCAAGTTTGTTTAACCGATAGCAACTGTGTCAAGGCTAAAATATTCCCATCTCAGATTAATGGGGGTGTGGCCACACTCTGATGCGAAAGGCCAGTAGGTCTCACTCTCTGGGCATTGCTGACTCTGACGTCACTTAGATGTACTGTGTTGATCCTGTGCCTCGGAGCACTCAGTAACCTTTATCACTCCTTTGGGAGTTTTGCCATCCATCCCAGTAGGTTCTCCATGTGCACAAGTGGAAATTAGGGGCTCTGAAAGAACCCATCTCAAATGGAGCTGACAGTCTCCTGCATCGCTTGTCTGGGTAAAGACTCCAAAGAGTTTGTGGGACAATGCTGTCTGATGAGAGCGTCATTTTGGAGGATTTATTTTCCCTTCTTGCTCACTCAGAGATCACTTTCTCACAACCTCCTTTTTCCTAGAGCTGGAGACTTGCTTGACTGAATCATGTGTCTGGGTCAACCGGGACAGCATTGGGTTCCCATTACCACGATCTCACCTTCATGGGTGCAGCATGACTGATTTTCACAAGTCGGTGGTGCTGAGCTGTTCCTTCCTGCTTAGCTGTTCCTGGAGGGTTCCTGAGCCCCATGCTGAAGTATCGTTCCTCAGGACAAATCCTCCCACCCTTATGCATTGTTCCGTTCCTTAGGTGTTGGTGACCATTTATTGGCTGGGGAAAGTTGCAAACAGCTGTGCATCCTACAGTGGAACCCCCCTGAACCTGAAGGAGTTTGAAGGACTGTTGGCCCAGATGCGAAAGGTGACTTGGCTTTTCTTCCTCATCCCCGGAGGGTTGGACAAAGCGGGAAAGCAACACGTTTTTAAGATGATTACAGTTCTGGGGCTAGAGTACTCAGCGGGGGAAGAGCATTTGATACTCTTCCAGAGGACCTAGGTTCAGTTCCCAGCAGCCACGTGGAAGCCCACAACCTTAAGTAACTCCAGTTCCAGGGGATATGATGCCCTCTTCTGACCCCTGTGGGCATACATACAGAGAAAACACTCACACACATAGAATTAAAAAAAAAAAAAACTTTACTAAAATGAAGATAAATATAGTTTCACATGGCAGAACTGTACTGACCCAAGGTATACATTCAAGAAAGGGTCCATTTGTCTAACCCAGAGCATATTTGCCTCCTGAGTCTCAGTTTTATATGTTACAATCTTTGGTGATTGGAAAGTCTGAGCCGGCTCCAACTGTAGTTTCGAAAGAGCGAGTTTGGTATGTTGGTGTGTGGCTTGGTACAACCATGGAGCTCATGGCTTGTGCATCTGGGGGAGGCAATGCTTGAATTAAACAATGTGGCATTCTGTAAAAACAACCACTGGTTCTGCGCTTTCAGCCTAAAGGTCATTGTGTTTGCCTGTTAGGGCCTTGATGTGGGTGAGGTGATGCCAGCCATGTCCTTGCCCCAGCCCCCGCCCTGGACGGGCTCTGAGAAGTTAGACGTTGCCTTCTACTGGGTCTGTCTGATGATCATTGTATCTGAGTGATCTGGAAACTCAGAAAATGGTTTTAAAGCTTGATGTGTTTATTTGACAAAATATTTGATGGCATATCATTAAAAACTTGGTTTGTTTGCTTGTGGGGAAGATTGACAGAAGGTAGGAGTTTGTCAAAGAAACAGCAGAATGCTTTGTATGTGCCTGCCTTTTAAAGGCTCCGCAGTATCGTTAATTCATACAAGACGGTGGTTCAGCCTCGGGAAGCAGGAAGGCTCGCTTGGAGTTATCATCCTTGTATTTCGGTCAGGGCTGTCTCAGAGCATAAATAATTGAGGCAGCTCTTCCTTGCTTTTCTACCATACAAAGTAAATCTACTAATGAGACTCAAAAATATCCAAAGGGCCAGAAAGTTGGCTCATTGAGTAAAGATGCTGCCACCAGGCCTTATGACCTGAGACCCACGTGAGGGAAGGAGAGAACTGATGCATACAAGTGCTCCTCAGACCTTCATGTATATACCCAGATCTCACACACACACACACACACACACACACACACACACACACACACACAGAGAGAGAGAGAGAGGGGGGGGGAATAAATTTTTCAGGACATTCAGACCTTCATGATTTTAATTCTGAAAGCAAGAATTTGTTCCAACTTTCTAATAAATTGTTCTTCTTTCCTTAAAGCAATGCTTCTCAATCTGTGGGTCATGACCCTTAGACAGGGTCGCATAGCAGATATCTTGCATATTAGATAGTTACATTATGATTCATAACAGTAGCAAAATTACAGTTACGAAGTAGCAACGAAAATAATGTTATGGTTAGGGGGTCACCACAACATTTGGCACTGTATAAAGGGTCGCAGCATTAGGAAGGTGGAGAAGCACTGCCTTAAAGCTAAGAGTCTCTACATTTGCCTGAAGCCAGTCTGGCTCACATATCTATAATAGATAAAGCAGGGTTGAGTGTGTACTCAGTGTAGAGGACTGGCCTGGCATGCATCAGGCCCTGGGTTTGCTCCCTAGCACTGAAAACACAATAACAGGACAACCTTTGTATTTATCATGACCTATGGAACAAATACACCCATACAGTAAGCACAACCCACTGTCTCTTGCCTTGGCTCTCTATTACCCTCCATCTTTCATCTAACTAATAGAGTGCCGTTGCTGGTTGGGAGTTGGACGTGTGAGTGGTTGCTTCTATATTCAGTGGTACTTGGGTAATACTAGGTGGGTCATCTGTTGAAAGCTGCTGAAATCTCACAGCCCTGCTGATGGATGAGGAAGAACCTAGTCTGCTTTGCTAGCTCCCTTCCTGCTGAGACGATGCCTGCAGTGGCCTGCCGTCAGCAACTGCTTCTCTTTGGAGTGAATGTAGACAACACCACAGGATATGATGCAGGGGTTGGCACAGCTAGGCAAAGCATGGCTCTTCACGACTGTGGCCCCCGGTGGTACTCCCATGCCATAGCGGTGCTTGAGACCAGACGACCTGGAAGATACTGGTCTATCCAAACACTGGCAATATTTTGTATCTGATCTATATTCTTCCATGCTCTTACTTACGATTGGGTTCACCTGCAAAATGTAAAAAAAACTCAAATTAACAGCTGAAAGGAATATTTTATTTTTTTCTCAGATAAGTGGGACTTGGGTGTGAGCAAGCAGTCCAGAGCTAGTGTGGCAGTTCTACACCTGGACGATGCCAGAAAGCCCAGACCCTTGTGTCCCATGCGCCATCATCCCCAGCCCACGGCTTTTCCCTGCTGGCTCAAGCTAGCTAGATGCTCAGGCTTTTTCCCTATCATGTCTGCATTCAAGTCAGGAGGAAGGAGGAACAGAGAAAGGGGCTATCTTGTGAGCACGCTTTTAGAAAATTACACACTACATCCTGCTGTGGTTTGAACGCCCCCTCTATAAAACTCATGCTGGACCTTAACTGCGGTGGTGGTAACAGGAGTTATACTCTCAGGGCTCTTTGGCCGTGGGGAGTACAGTCTCACAAATGGATTGATTGATGCTGTGGTTGCTAGAGTGGGTTTATAATTCCAGCTGTGTTATCAAGGCACACTGTCCATTGCACACGTGTTCTCTGGGTAGAGAATGGCTTCTGTCATGTTAGGAAGATCTTCCTCCATGCCAGCACCTTGACATTGGATTCAGCAGACTTCGGAACTCTGATATGTAAGTTCTTTTTAAATTACCTAGTCTGTGGCATTCTGTTCTAGCAGAACTCCCAGCTTACATCTCATTGACTTGAACTTGGTCACAAATTCATACCCATCCCCAAGTAAAGGCTTGGAAAAGAAAGGCTTTATTTTGACATATATATGTATATATATTTATTTTAACTAGGTGAGAAGTAGACAGATTTTGTGGGATGACTGAACACTGTGAACAGAGGCTGGCTGAAATAAATTTGATATTAAATTTGTATCTTCCTTAAAGGGGACTAACTAGAAAATTTTAATATTAATTTTTTCAGTGGAAAAATGTGTACAAAATCAGTAACTATAGGGTACTTATTCTATACTTAATATGTGGAGAGCCCTTAGCAAGAATCCTGAAATGGAAGGGGGTTTGGAGCTCTCAGTGTTGAGAACCATGTGGGTTATTTCTCCAAGACCTTCACTCATCATTCCCATCTCTCCTGGAGTTTATTCTCCTTCCTGTAAGAAGTTAATCCTCATAAAGGGATGTAGCTAACAGCATCTCCAGGGAAGATGCTTCTAGTTCCTGGAAAGGAAAGGAAGTATTTCCTCTAGGCCCAGAGGTATAATTCCAAGGAATGGCTGTCCTGTTCTACACTAGTCATTGTGACCATGGGTGGCCTACCCCATTCCTGATCCAAGAGGTGAGGGCATCAATATGAGGAAGGGATAGAAAGGGGGAAATGGGACTAGCAAACAAATCCTGGAGAGACGAGTGCATGAAATAGTCACTACCATCATACTCATTCTCCAATTTTGTATCTACTTACCTTTCTCTGTTTATCTGTGGTCTTCCCTTTCAGAACACGAGGTTCCTACAAATAAGGCGTCCGTTGATTTATTTTTATGATGCTGTGTCCCTGGGGCTAGAATACTACCTAGAAGGCACTTGGGCAGTATCAGTAGAATGAATCGCTTATGTTGGAGAAGTTAAACCTCAGACATGTTGGAGCAGCACTCAGCCACCCTATAAATCACACAGCAAGCCGAAAAATGTTGAGGTGTCCAGAGAAGGCATCTGGAGTGTCTTAGATACTGTCAGTCACCCACGGGCCCTTGCTGGCTCTCATTAATACTCACAGAGGGCCTAGGAAGAAGGGGATTAGTGAAATAAATCCTGAGTTTGTGGAGGCTAGAGGCGCCCATTCCCTTTATGAACCCTCTTTCAACAGTGAGCAGTTGGTCCAGTGGGTTGATTTCAGTCTTTCCTGCCTTACCTTGAGAGCTCTGTGGAAGACAGGGGCTACTGTGCTCCAAGATGAAAGGCACAGACAATGCAATTAGACCCCATGAAAGACTTAGACATACCTGTCTTTGTTGGTTTATATTTTCCACCCTCCCCCAAAGCCTCACTATAAAGTCTTCCCAGCCCCCCCTCCTGCCCCCCCCCCCCCCCCGCAAAAAAAAAGTGTGGAGACTTGATTGAAACCAGTAAAACTGGAAGTCCAGTGGATGGCCACATTTTTTACTTCTGGCTAACAGGTCAGCCTCCTGGTTTACCTGTGGCATTCCTGGGAGGCCAGTGTGGCCAGGTTGGCCACAGTGACCTACTTTCTGCTTTTCAGACTGTCCACACCACTTATTTCCCCACTGGGGACTCAATCTTGGCTTACTATGTAGTCATGAACATGGTAAGCTTTCTGTTTTTCTTTCCCGTGAGCATCAGGGAGATGCTGAGGCTCCAGGAACAGACACACTGACCTTCTTTCTTCCTGAATCTTCTCCTGCAGTTGGGGGTGCAGGGAAGACCCAGGCTTCATGGAAAGCCTTTCTGATACTTCTGTCATGTGGCACCGAGCAGCCTGTGAGCATGTCACTTCCAGCTGCAACCAGTGCCCCCCCCCCCGCCCCGCCCCGGCTGTCTGTTTTTTGCAAGGCGCTGAGGTATAAGTAGAGAAAGAACAGGTCAGTGTGGAAAGTGTAGCCTTTGACACTGGTGTATAAATATTGTATAATTTCTATATTAAAATGTATATGCCTCAGTGAAGGAATAGTAGTTAAAGCCATTGCTGATACTTTGTAGAGTCCTTACTCTGCATTATCCCCTGTTCCGAATACTTTCCACAGATCACGTGTTTAATAGTCCCAGAAACTCGGTTGGATGGGTATCTTTGCTATGTCCCATTTTATAGATGAAGACCCATGAGGCGACGTGAGTTGCCTAATATCACACAGCTAACAAGATTTAAACCCAGCTATTATGGCTTCTGAAGCTAAGCGTTTGGCCATGGCCCTAACTTGCATCTCTTTTGTGACATTTCTCCTTCAGTCATTTGGTCATAAACAGCATCAGTTAGGAGACATAACCCAGATTGGCAAACTTTCACAAGGATGCAGGCAGCACCCAGTCTTGAGCCATCTTGCCAAACCTAGAGACTAATCGTTTTAGGTTTTATTTTTAAGTATTTACCATTTACTGTGTGGCTTAAGTTAAAGTAACTCTCTTTAACTTAAAATTCCTATTTTTTCTCTTCTATAAAATAAGGATATTATTAACTACCACATTGGCTGACTATGGGGGTGAATAACATGATATTCAGAAAGCATGACCCAGACATATAGTAAGTGTTCAATAAAAGTACGCTTCATCTTTTAGTCATTTGGTTGATGAGTAATTTACAATAATAACTTGTATTCCCAAGGAAGCTAAATTTGACCCTCTGTCTAATTCAGGTCTGTTTTTCAGTGAGTTATACGTTCTTTTTTCAACTTCTCAGGCCTGGATTTTATTCCAAATTCTGGTTAACTTTTGACCTGCACGTAATTAACCTTAATTTCCATAAGTGGCATTTCTGAGCCGTGGTTCTGAACCTGTGGGTCTTGACCGCTTTGGGGTTGAACGACTCTTTCACAAGGGCCACATATCAGATCCCCTGCATATCAGGTATTTACATTACAGTTCACGACAGGAGCAAAATTACAGTTATGAAGTAGCAACAGTTTTATGGTTGGGGGTCGCCACAACCTGAGGAGCTGTATTCAAGGGTCAGAGCATTGGGAAGGTTGAGACCCACTGCTCTAGTGTCTTGTTGCTGTCCTCACCCAGGCATTTGACAGCCTAGTCTTCAGGGGCATTAATTGGCTGGGGCCGCAGGGTTTCCCCCACCCCCAGCCCTGCCCCTGTTCCCTTACCCACTCCTTCCTCCCTGATGGGAAACCTGAGTGTGCCTGGTGAATTACAACCATTCCAACCCCATGCCTGTCTCCCCAGGGTGGGGACTGGGTCAGAAGCGCACCCCTCCATAATTGTTAGAAACAGCCGGCAATTATAGTTCCTGCAAAGGCATGGGCTCCCAGGGCCCCTCAGACAGAATTAGACCAGCGACCGTCTCAAACTGCAAACAGGGAGAGTGCTGATTTTTTTTTTTTTCCCTTTTCCATTGGGAACGCAGAGGGGACCTCCATGTGCATCCCGGGGAGATCTGCGGGGCAACATTCCAGATTTTGTCTGTGAGAGCATACTCCTCTGCCGGTGTGCTCTACAGGCTTGATTTCTAGCGACAGTCTCGGGGATATTAAGCGGAGGTTTATCTTTGAGTGACGGGAGTTGTTTTTTTTTTTTTTTTTTTTTTCCGTCGGCCTGGACTATTGTAATGAATGCGAAGGCGCTGGCAGGAACAAGGCTTTTATTATAATGTGAGGGTGAGGATGATTTTGACTGACCTTTCTTCTGCTGGAGTTTCAGTGTTTTAGTATGTGTCGCTTGTGCTGGAAAGAATTTATAATCACAGGCTGTCAAAGGCAGCCATTGTTCTCCTTGCTCTGAACATGTGGGTCAGCCACAAGTGCCTGCAGCTCCCCCAACGCCAAGAGCTGGCGGAGAGAGAGAGCATGCCTGGATTCTTCTGAGGCATCAGGAAAAGCGTTTTGCATATTTTTCATTGCCTTTTTTTTTTTAACTTTTGCCTCAGAAAGACAGCTCGCTTTCAGAGCAGGAATTTCCCTCCAAGGTAGCAGGAGAGGGAAGCATGCAGCTCCAGAATTTCACAGCCCTGATTCTGCCTGCATTTGCCAGACAGCCTAGCCCTGGGCAGTAGCACTGAACTAGGGACTCGTCCCAGAGACATGCGGTTATGGATTCCGAAAGACAGGTCAAAGGTTTTGTCTTTATTGTCAATGATTATTGCATTCTTGTGAATCCAAACTTTGTGATTCTCTATATTTACTTTTTAAAAAAAAATTATGGGATATGAGTTTCTTGGGGATTTTTTTTTAAGTTGTGCATGATTTTCTAATTGAAAGAATGCAGCAGAGAAAGGCTGAAGAATTGGATAATCACCTGTTGATTAGCCTCGTGAGCTAGCTGCTCCGACTTTTCCACACCAGATTGCCTATGCACGTATCTCGCGGACCCCTGGAGGCCGGATAACATATGTATGTTGCCGTCATATCTGAAATTCTTCCGTTTTATTTTGGGACAGGAGACTGATGACATTGAGAGTCCTAAGCGCAGTATCCGGGACAGTGGCTATATTGACTGCTGGGACTCTGAACGCAGCGACTCCCTCTCTCCTCCTCGCCACGGCCGAGATGACTCCTTTGACAGCCTGGATTCTTTTGGCTCCCGCTCCCGGCAGACACCTTCACCAGATGTAGTTCTCAGGGGAAGCAGTGATGGTAGGTTGGCTCTTCATACACTGCCCATCTTGGAGTTAATCGTTAACAGGAGTTTCAGGGGCCTGGTTAGAGAGTGCAGGGCCGGGAAGGCAGTCTCCATACCCACCTGGCTGGAGCCTGGGAATTCTATAAAACTAGTAGGGGGAAGGGAAAAGTCTTTGACTCTTGTTCTTCGTGGCTTTCAGAATTTTGCTTGGTTTTGCCCGCGGTTCATTCGAACACTGCCTCCCTCAGTGAGTGTATCTTCTGTTGGAAAATGTGTTACATCACTCTTCCCTGAATCAAGATGCTGTGCAGACCATTAGCTCATAAAGTGTTCTCCCGTTTATATACTGTGGGTGCAAGGAAGGGAAATGTTTAGTGAGTAACACACTGTGGAAGGGAAAATGAAACAACTCCCCAGCAAACTAGAAGTACGCTTTACATCCTCAAAGCCCAGGGGCCCCCAGGGCTGTGCCCCTCTCCATTAGCACCTGTTTTATCAATTTGATGCTTAGCATGTCTCACTGGTGGGCTAGCTCAGTGAAAATGGCCATGAGTGAATAGTACATAGCCAGACTGTTTGTTGGCCCCAAGGCTGAATTTTATTTAAAGCCTGCAGATTTGATATTACTTGTATGGAATGATCATTATTTTCTCTCCAGAGAAAAAAAAAAGTGTGGTCCTGTAGCCTGATGTGCGTTCAGTGGCTGTTACTAAGAGCTGCTTGCTTTATTTCTCTTGCACCTTGGGGCTTTTTAGGAGAGCAGGTGGCTTGGTTCTGCATGTGTAAACTTGCAGAACAGCAGTAAGGCTGGTGGGGGATTTTTGTTGTTGTTGTTTCTGTTTTTGTGTATGTTGCTTAGTTGATAGTAATACATAGCCTTCTACTATCTGAGATCAAGATTATCTTTTGTGGCTGCAGTGTTGACACTAAATTCTTACTATAGTTTTTTGTTTGTTTGGTGAAGTACTAGAGATTGATGCTAGGCCTTGTGCGGTCTAAGTGAGTGCTGGACCACTGAGCTGCATCCCAGTCCCTGAGCTATGCAAGTCACTGTGATACTTGAGTATTTCCCAGGTCCAGGTTCTAAGTTAGACTAGATGCTTAGCGCGCAGTGTTTTAATCTTCAGCCTAGATGTTGGTGTCCGGCAACATCTTAGGTTATCCTTGCATGGAGCTGGGAGACACCCCTACTCCTTATTTTACAGATGTGTCTTCAGGAGTTTAAGTCTTTGTCCCAACATTTCTAAATGATGACAATCGCTGTCAGTCTAGTAGTTTAATTGTGTCAGCCTCAAGAAGCATGGGTCCAAATGGGTACTCTTAATTTACCCGGGCTGCTTTGGTCTTTACCCAGTAGAAGTTTTATTCTAAACTCACTGAACAAATGTGTTGGCTCAGAATATATACTTTTCAGCTGACAGATTAGCCTCAGGGCCACATAGTGTGCGACTCCTAAAGAATTCCATGGTACATTGTGAGCTGCTTGAGAAATATTTCTGAAATTTTATTTGACATCTTAAATACCACCCACGGCACTAGAAGTTAAAATACCAAGTCCGTGATCTAATTATGCTTCAATCTAACCCAAGCATGGGTTTCCTTTCACAAAAGCCACCTTGACCAAACTGTTTCACCCATACTGTTTGTTTTAACCTCTAAAAAAATGTGACTGTTTTTCCACCTCTTTTTCTATAACTGGTACTGTGGATGCTTTAGTCTGTCACCAGCTTTGAGGGGTTCAGAGTTTAAACCACATCTTGAAAGGATTTGAGATGGTGATTAGTAACATTATGCTAAAATATCCCAAAGCACAGTTTAGTTGCAGCAATTAAAACTGATAAACTAGAGTCTATTTACAAATGCTTTCTCCATCAGATGAACAGTGGAGAATACGGCCCTGCCATTTCCCCTCCCTGTGCGTCTCCATAGGTTTTACCAATCAATCTGATACCTCCAGGCATATCTTCCTATAAACTAATCAAGACCCAGTGAAACTTTAAAAGAAAAAACACATTTCTTAATCTTCCTTTCTAGTATGTTCCTTTAAAATGATGCTCATCAGTAAGATTGCTAGTTCTAATAAATAGTTCCATGTTCAGAAGATTTCGGGGTGGGGGGATGTCTTAGCATTTTTTTGTCCCCAGACTCACAACCAATCTGGGGCAATTTTAACCTAAAATTCTTTCCCTTTGTATTGGGTCCATATGGAAGGCTTCAACTGTGTTATTATAGATGGGTACCCACTGACCAATTCAAAAGAGACAAGCCATGTTCAGAAGCGCCATGATTCTGATTTGGATACAGTTTCCTGGTAGGCTTGCTTCAGCCAACATGTCTTGCCAGCCAGGTACCAAGTGCCTCCTTCCGCTTCCACAAGCATCACCTGTGAGGTCACTCAGGAAACTTCAATGAACAGAAAATACAACCTTGTACTCACGTTGCTTTAAAATTTAGTAATAGTTCATAAATATGACTCATTGCCTTAATTCAGTATACCAATATTTTTTTTAAAAAAGATGTGTTACAAAAAAAATATAAAGAGTAAGTACAAGTAAAGTGCTAGAAAAACAGTGACAAAGTCTTTGTAATTTGGGGGTGTTTGGCAGCAGATATGTGGAAGGAAGAGGGGGTGGAGGAGGGTAAGGAAACCAAATGGCTCTACTTGCTGGTAGGCACGTGGAAAAGAAGGGGGAGACTTTGATAAAATGATAATGCACCGTGTGCTCTGTTCTATTTTCCTAACTCTGAACGTTTGGGGAGAAGCCAGCCTGGTAAATTTCCAGGTCCACAGGATGAAGTGAAATAACAGTCTTTTTCAGGTCTAGCCTTACAATTACCCAGGCATACCACGCCAGCCGTCCTGAGGTCCTCTGCGCCATTTCACTGGACCCTCACAACACCCCAGGGGAGCACTAGTATCTCCTCTGTGAAGGCCACGGGAACTGAGGGGACCTGGGGTTTCAACTCCCAGTGTCGTGGAGCTCTCAGGTGGTGCAACTGAAATGCCATCTTGGCTGTGCATCTTTGAAGCTGCCCACTTCCCAGCTAAGACCAGGGACATGGGCAAGTTAACATTTCTTAAAATGTCTGTTGAGACCATCCCGGAGAGTAATTCACGGAGGAAAGGGGTGTGCTTACATGCTAACATATTTTGAGACTTTCAGTATATTGTGATACTATTTAGATATGATACAGAAATATGACCCCTAGACTCTAGATTGAGGGATCCAAGACAACTGTAACCATCACTAAGCTGCCATAGTAAATGCTTTCATTCATTTATTCAGCACACTGTAATAGTTCCCCTAGCCCGGGACACTGTAAAAAGACGTTTTTCTCAGAGCAGTGTGCTCACAGGACAGAACATTGGGTGTCTGGAGAGCAGAATCCAGTCTCCCCGAGCCCACACTAGTCAGCCATGGGGAGGGGAGGACCTCTCGAGCCTGTTTCTATCCTTATAAAGAGAGGCTACTATCAAGTGGAGAAACAAAGCCGTGTGCTTGGCAAGGCCAGGCGGTGTGCGTATTTGTTTACAGGCAACATTTTATTTTGGCACTGACAGATATGCTTGTTAAAAACTTGTGGTGGGAAAGGGGCTAAGTAGTGAATCAAACACTAACAAGCCAGGAAGTGGCCAAAATTTCAGAAGAGAGACCGTAAGTAAGTGCCATGAATAATTCATAGTCTGAATATTTCACATAACAATGAACAACTTGTTCACAGCCAGTGCTTTTTAACTTTTACGGTCTCTTAAACATCATTTTATTGTCTAATCTTTGGGGCAAATCCTTTCATTCCAGTCTCACAGAAGAGGACATTTAAGTGTGTTAGAGACAAACTTAGGAAGCCACAGCTCCTGTGTGATGGACCCAGACTGTTAGGACAGAAAGAGTAGGTGGCATGTATTAACCACTAGGTGCCGGATACTGGGCCAATAGTTGTAGGTGGATTCCACCCTTCCAGTAGTCCCATAGAGCAGATGGCATTGTTGCCCTCACTTTACAGATTAGTAGTCGGGTTAACAAGACTAATGAATAACAGAGCTGGAGCTGGAGTGGCTCTAACCTTACATACTACCCCCTCTGCCTTGTTCCGGCTCTTGGCTCTCTTCCTAAGCATTAATGTCTTTGTTATCAACAGAGTCAGAATGATGTCATGCTCTCATTCATTGATTAAGAGTTTTCAACCAGCTTTACAATAGCAGCTACTCATATGATTGTGTTTGTCTTCATTCTAATAGACCTTAGAAATCTAACAACATGAGACTTGGGCTTTTCAAAAAGAATATATTACAGTTACTGGGGCTGTGCTCTAGGAGCAAAGCTGGTGTTGGCAGAGCTGGATTCCTTAGCATTCAAAACAAAACAAAACACTTTTTCAGCCAAACTAATTCATGTCTCCATCTGAGTGTGAGATGCCCATTGGCTGCAATGGCATGCCTTAGAAGCTGTATACTGGGCGACTCTGGTTCTTAAAACAAAGGGAGAAAGAACCATGTACGGGGACAGAAGACATGACCATGGGTTGGTAGCCACAGTAGGAAGAAGATTGTCCCCAGCTCAGGGAACTGGGAAAAGTGTGTAGAAGAAGGCGTAACCTCTTGGAAGGTCAACCCTCAGTGAAGTCCAACTGGTCACTTTTCTAAGCTCTGCCATCCTTATCTGTCTTTGCTACTAGATAATTTGCATCTTCTCTGTGTTCTGAAGCAGAGTGAAAGGTACAGAAAGACAAATCACTTCTAATGCATACTTGTCACAATGCCTAGCACAGTACACTCTGGCTAGACATCAGTAAAAACCCCACTGGAGAACTGATGAGATTTTCTTTTGAGAGTGGCCAAAGCGCAAGGCTTGGCAGGCAAACAAGTGCACACAACTGTGTCATTTACTGTAATTCCACACACTTAAGCTTATCTCTGTGAAAAAAAAAGAGACAGAGAAAGAACAACAAAAACTACTACCACCCCAACTACCGCCAATAAAAAACATGCGTATAGTTTTTTTTTTGGTTTTTTTCCTCACTGAAATTGAGGCCTCTTTCCAGAGGAGGTTAATGTAGACATTTTCCAAGTTACTAGCTCAAGGTATGAATTCCAGAACACATAAGAGTTACCCTTGATTGTATTGGAGATGCCACTGCGCGTCTCTGCTGGCCCAACACACTTTCCCAGCCTTTATCCTTCCTTTGCCAGGAAGAGGAAGCGACTCTGAATCCGACTTGCCGCACCGGAAGTTGCCGGATGTGAAGAAAGATGATATGTCTGCACGACGGACCTCCCATGGCGAGCCGAAGTCTGCAGTGCCTTTTAACCAGTACCTCCCGAACAAAAGCAACCAGACCGCCTATGTCCCGGCACCTCTGAGAAAGAAGAAGGTGGAGCGGGAGGAGTACAGGAAGAGCTGGAGCACCGCCACCTCCCCGCTGGGCGGGGAAAGGCCCTTCAGGTAGGAATGAGGTTTCGGTACTTCGATGCACCAGTTTGGAGGAAAGTAAGTGGCCAGTGCATCCCGGAGAGCTTGCCATAGAGTACCGATTTCTTGCGCCATGCCTGGCACAGAGTAAGGTACCCAAGAAATATTTCCGCTGAGGAGCGGATGCTCTGGGCCGGTTCTGTTGACAGAAGGTGGAAAACACACGTGTCACGTGTGTCCTGTTGTGGAGGCTGCCCGATTTCTGAGCCTGTTACAGTGGAGGTACAAAGACTGTGCACAAAGAGTCTTGATGCACTCGTGTAGAGCAAGCAAAAACAAGAGAACAGCACCGACGGGCCTTGACGATCGAGTGTAGACAAGGGTCAGAATAAACAGAAGACATGTTTTACGTTTGTTTTAGAGAAGGAAACTGTTTCCTTAATCTCCGTATTAAGGTACATCTTTATTCTGCAAGTATTTGTTAAGTGCTGAGTATCGATTACGTGCTGGGTGCGGTCTTTTAGGACTTGGGGACCCAATAGTCAAACAGTAAGAAACAGTCCCTGTCTTTAGTAACCTTATAAGGACTTTACTATCTCATTTTTATTGTCTATGATTTTTTTCACTGAGGAAATGTTTAGTTAAAAATTTTGCTTATTGATCAAAACTAGTGAATTTTACCTTTCCAGCAGAAGAAGTTTTTTGCTTTCAGTATCAAGTTTACAAGAGTCCTTGATCAGTGTGTAGGAGAAATGCCTTGTATTAAATAGCTACACTAAGTTGGCCTCACGTTAGCAGGATCCCATTCTGGGCTGTGATTGTTAATTTTTTTTTTTTAGTTAAAAGTGATATCAGAATGTCTTGGAAGCGATGTCCGGTCTGTTCCCTGACCTGTCTATTAGCTTAGTAAACCATGTTGTCCAACTCACTAGTTATCCTGAAACAATAGAGGAGGAGGAGGGGAGTGAAGCAGGGTCTCCTGGTGAAGATGACCCCAGCAGCCAGACGGGCCCGGATGGGTGGCCTCACGGTGGGTTAGAACCTCCTCCCAGCCATGGTGAGGAGCAGTCTCCTGAGGATGTTGCTGCGGTACCGATTGCCGTTCCTGAAGACAGAGATGCCGTGGAAAGCCAAAAGCGCCGAAAGCTGGAGCAAGCTGGGATCAAGGTCATGCCCGCGGCACAGCGCTTTGCCAGGTTAGCTCTGCCAGCTGAGGGCTGGCCTGGCTGGCCTTCTGCATGCCCGCAGGTTTGGACTCCGTCTAGCAAGTTGGACTTCTCATCTTGTTTCCCCAGTTGCTACATGTCCATCGCATTACTCTTGCCTGCTCTGGACAAATAGAAATAGATATTCTGCCTTGGGGCATGTCTCCGCTAAGTCCTTGGCTAGTGAAAGTAGAGATAGAGTGTGAGCTCCTCTGTGCTTCATTAGACGCCATCCCTGTGGTCAGTTATTATGGGCTGCAGGGTTTACCTAGCAATAACATTTTATTTTCCTATTGCCTGTGTCTTGTTAGCTTTTATACTACTCCTAAATGGCTCATTACCTCATGTGACCGACCCATCATTAGACTATGTTCAGTGTCTTGAAATAGGGGGCAGTCTATTCACAGAGAATAACTGACTGGCAAAAATACACATTCTTTTAAGGAGTAGTAAGGACTGGATGCGTCGATGTATTTTCTAAAACATGGTGATTCAGAAGCTAAGAACAGAACAGGGATGTCATTGCAGCTAAAGGCATTAGTGGACAGTGCTGCTGGCTTTGAAGGATAGGTGGGATGAAGTGTTTTAACAATCAAAGCCACGGAAGTGTTTTAACAATCAAAGCCATGGAAGTCTACAGGTCTACAGTTTTATTGGGGGTGGGGTGGAGTCAAAAAGCTTGGTTTTTTTTTTCTTATAAGAACCACAGTGATTCTCACAAATAATCATGCATTCAATGCTTATGTAACAAATGGATGCTCTAAGAAATTTGACACTTGAAATTCCTTTTCATTTAAAAAAAAGTCACTAATACACTCACTTTTTTCAAAAGGAGAAACAAAGGATGGGTGATTATATTATATTACTTTCTTAGTGCTATGAGAAGAAGTACCTGACCTAAGCCACTTCAGGGAAGAGTGATTTATTTTTGCCCATGGTCTCAGGGGATATCTTAGTCCATCGTGTCAGGGAGAGTGTGGAGGCGGGAGCAGCGTGGTCGTATTGACAGGAGCACGAGGCAGCTGGATTTATTGTGGCAGGCAGTAGAGAATGGGATCAATAAGGTCTGGCTACAGCCCCTCCCCCACCTGCCCCCAAAGCCTTGTTCTCAGTGACTCACCTCTGCCAGTCAGATGTCCGTGTCCCATCTCCCAAAACAGTGTCACCGTCTAGAGATCAGGTCACCAAACATATAAGCCGGTGGGTGTTCTGGTGACAGTTCACCTTCAAAACATAGCAAAGATGGTAAGTGACCTGTAGAGCTGGCCGGAGCTGGCCTGGCAGTCAGAGTCAGGTCCTCTGACCACAGCACTGCATCTGCCTCCCACACATGTATTTCTCTGTATGCACCCTGTGTGGTCATTTCCACGGTCTAGTTCTTGACTGAAGTATTCAGTGTTGGGCTTTTATATATTTAATTGTAAGATAGCTTTGTGTTGATTTTTTTTAAACACCCAAAAAGAATATATTCCTTCCCTGTTGGTGGTATCCCACAGTTAATCTTCCTACCTTAAACATGTATGCGTTTCTAGAAATTTTGGTGTAAAGTCTGCTTGTGTTTTAAGCAGGTCTCTGAAATAATGAAGAATAATATCACACTGTATCTTCTGAATATCCAAATATTCTTTGGCTGTGTTGGAAATATACTTTCCCTGTCTCTTCCAAATATCTGCCTATCCCAGAGACCAAGCTAAAAGCCAAATACAGAAATGAATACCATCCCCTCCCCTGCACCGTTTTTCAAACTTGTCCGACTCCCCTCTTTAGCCTTATAACACATTCAGAGTATTACTAAGTTATACAGATAAGGGCACAAACCTGCAAAATCAAGTTTCTACATCTCAGATGCATATACCTTATTTTATTTATTTTTTTTTTTACCGTATCTGTGAAGTCTTTTAGCTAAAATTCATCAAGAAAATCTTTGTCTTTGGAGTTTTTGAAAGAGCAGTAGAGGGTGAGCAAGAAAAGGCAGGGTGCTTCCGGGGCACACACAGGAATAAGATGACAGAGGACACAGTTGTGTACTTTTGGGAGTCCCATCAGTGACCTGTGCCACTCGGTGAGAAGCATATTTTATAATAAAACATTGAGTTCTTGGATAACGATTCTCGCTCAGCATACAAACATAGAGTTGTGCTTTAATGTGATTCTGGTGGGGGGAGATCCTGTATTTAGGTGGTCATTTATGCTTCCACGCTTGTTTGGTGATACCTGGTTTACTTCTTAGCTGTGTCATCCGAGTTAACTCTGAAGCAGAAGTCTGCAGCTTGTTAACGTCATCCCACCTCAGACCTTCTCTCACAGCATTTAAAATGGTGTCGGGGCAGCTATGAATATTCCTGGAGAATGTCCCCCAGAGAAGCACCGTTCATCTGCTTCAGTCACCAAGAGTTCATTTGGTAGACAGTCCTTCAGCAGCTAGCTCACTCCCAAAGCCACATGCACCATGCCACCAGTCCAGCGTATCTAGTTTTTGTCACTTAACCTTTTACAAGGCACAGTAGAGTTGGGAGTCATTCTCAGTTTATCCACACTTGGGGTCCTGCTTTTAATGTGGCAAAACGTTGCTTGACTGGAATGAACTGCAAATCATGACGGGTGTGTGTGTGTGTGTGTGTGTGTGTGTGTGTGTGTGTGTGTGTGTATAGTCTCAGTGTGGGGAAACGTGAGACTATAAATCATTAAGCTATGCCAATGTCTCTCAGAGCATTTGACCTCAAGTCTCTTGTTTTGACATCCAGATGGATTCTGGCCATCACATTTTTTGGACCCAGCAAGAAGCTAAAGATAATTCTTGAGGGCTGTTGCTCAGTTGGGAAGGGCTGTTTGTCAGGCATATGCTGTACAAGAAAGGGACATACACAGGAGTTGGGGGGAGCACCTTTATAGCCAGGCCACTTTTCTCTTTCCTTCCCATGGATCCTCACATACATCTTTGCATTACTTTTAAGCCAATATATACACAGAGCAAAGGTGCATGTCATTCCATTTCCCCATGAGGTTAGAAGGCAATAGGACCCATACTGCTTATGAAAAAATGAATCAGGAGGTACCTTAGCATCAAGGAACAGAAAATAAGACTTCTCAGTAGACATGTGGCAGTTAATATTTATTAGAATTTCCATCAAAGTTTAAAAAAATAGCATATAAACTGCTTTTTCTTCTGTTTTATTTTATGATCATGTTAACTTAATTACTCCTCCCCCTAAGATTCTGCCAAAGAAGCCAGATTTCTGTTTTTAAGAGGGTAAAATAGAACCAAGATTCACTTCCCCCTAAATTAAAATACCATAGAGATTTGAGTCCTCTTATTTGGTGTTTCCCATTGGAGGAGTACATTTTTTAACTGAATTATAGGTTTCACGTGACCGTACTTCTCTTCTAATTATTTGCACGTGTTTCATCACTCAGTATTTTCCACTAGTCTGTGAATCTTCTCAACCACATGGTAATTAATGACAGAGGGAGACAACCCTCCAAGGGACAATAGACATTTTAGAACTCTTTGGAGGAAGAACAGATGTAACCCAGTGCCAGACACATACTCTTCCGTGTCCCGCTGGACCAGATGCTGGCTTCCTGCTGATTTCTGCACAGATCCCCCAGTCTAGGGACCAGACAGACACAGGCATGACCTTTGTGACTCTGCATGTGTCTGCTGTGCCTGGAGACAGGGTAACAGGGAGGTTTCTGCTGTTGCCCATGACATTCCCAAGAGAACGAACAGGCCTTTCTGGAGAGCCCAGTTTCTTTCAATAGAACAGACTCACTGCCAAGCCAAGCTGTTTGCTCATTGCCAAGGAAAAGGGGCGAAAGAGAATGCCAACTTTTCCTTAGTTTATTTCTGTTTTGTGTATGTGTATGTGTGTGTTGCATGTGCGTGTTTGTGCTCTTGAGCATGCAAAGGCCAGAGGAGGACATCGTGTATGTCGCTCCGTCAGTCTCCATCTTAGCCCTTGGAGCAGGGTCTCTGATTGAATCTGGAGCTGGGCTGGTGGCCAGAAAGTCCCAGTGATGCCATTGTCTTTGCCTCTCCCCCCAGCCTGAGATTTTGAGTACATGTGCAGCCACTCCCCTTTAAGTGGGTACTGTGAATTAAAAGTCGGGTCCTCTTGCTTGTACAGCAAGGACTCACCTACAGAGCTATCCCCAGCCCCCTTTGCCCATTCCTTAGTTTTAATCCATAATCTCTCTTATCATGACAGCATTCCTTTGTTTTGTTTTGTTTTTAGATGAGACTGGCAGAGTTGCCAGATCATAAGCTGGGCTCTGCATTTCTCCGTAGCTGAACCAGGTCTTGAACTTGTGATCTTCCTGACTCAGCCTCCCAAGTAGCTGTGATTGCAGACCTGTGCCCTCGGGGCCCGCTAGGCTTCTGCATTGCACATTACATATGGATTGTATTACTTCTAGTGAGCACTGTCCACCCAGCAATTGCCAACCCTATCAGTAAATGTAAGTCTGAGCAGTCTGACTGATGCTTATGGTTAGTTAAAGTTACTTAACTAAGTTCGTAAAACTTGAACTAGAGACTTTAATATTCTCTGCAATGTAGATATCATAATTCCTGGTTTGTAGGGTTCTCTTGGTCATCAGTCTATGCACCAGCTTCTCAGACTGGTAGTTATTGAAAATTAAAACTATATCAGAGTTTAACAATAGGCTGCCTTGAAGGACTAAATAATACAGAATAGAAGTCATTGAAATATTTTTGGTTCATAGATACTTGTGACCATTCTTCTACATATCTGCCTTCAATGCATTTTTATTTCATGGTCAGTAGTGTCAGCCAATAATTTCCATCATTTTTCATTTCTCTGAGATGGCCACAAAGCTCTAAATTTACAGAATTCATACAATGAACAAGAATTGCTCATAGTAACAGTTTTCCAGTTGGAGTAGAGATATTCCAGAGCTGGGAGTATCTTAAAGTGGCCATTGACAGAAACTTTATTCAGTCTCTTCTTTGAAGCACGCATATCTAAATTGAGATCACTTGAAACAAGTCCTGCCACACTGGGCAGTTAGCCTAGAAAGAAACACTAGGGGAATTTGCAGCCCAGCTGGGCCTGCAAGATGCATAAGGTACCAGATTTGCACAGCTCAGATTGGCATTGTAAATTGGCAGGGCCATTTGCATACATGCATACTTTTTATTTTAGCACATTCTTCCAGATATGAAGACCAGGCCTCGCAGTCAAAAAGTGGAAAGAATTTTAGTCTTAGACTTGATTCATCCTGATAATCTGCCCCACACAGGGGTGCGAGACTGTGTGAGGTGCTTGCCATGGAGAGGGTTTGTATAATAGTAAATGTTGAGCACAGTTGGGAGGTGTGACTAGTTAGCATTCTGCTATCATCAGTCCTCTCCATGTTCTGTGCAGTGCAATTTACAACTCTATTCTAAGCCCAACTCACAAAAATCCCTTTATTTAGAAACCAAATTACTTCCCTTTTTCCTGTTCTCATAGGAATGATAGTGCTTTCCCCCTGCCCTTCTTTCTTTTCCTTTTTTTGATATGGTGCTCTGCTTTCAAAGCTGTTCCTGGCATTGTTGTTTGTCCAATCAGTAGCACAGTGGTCTATTCATTGTCATGGAGCAGGGCCTCTGGACCCGGCCTGCCTTAATTTGTATTCCAATTTATGCACCAGCTCTTTGACCTTGTGCAAATTTCTTGGCCTAATCTTACTTTCTACTTGATAAAATGAGGAAAAATGTATACCCTAAGCCATGCAGTTTTAGTTTTAGAATCACTATGTAGGACATAGTGTATGCTCATTATCCACTGGCCAGCATCATTATAATCAATTTGCTTTTGCATAATGACTGAAGAGATTCAGTGGTCTGTCATTTTCTACTAACTATTCTTCATAGCCAATTTGACCAATCCAAGTTGATCTCTGCCAAACATGTCAACCAAAGATTCAGGGAAGGAAAGTGAACACAGTTTAGGGAGGGACTAGGCAGGAGACTGAGAGTTGAGTGTACAACTCTAAGGGCATGATTCAATACTGTAAATAATAAATTTATTGAGAAGTAAAACATCGTACACACATCTGTGTTTTAAAATCTTATTGAGAACAATGGCTAATGTTGAAAAGGTGTTGTGAATACGACCAAGCACATTTTGATTTTTCAAATCTCAGAAAATCTGCTGTCATTCCATGGTAATGACCTCCTTTGCAGCCGTATAGTACAGAATAATGGTGGACCAACTGGTCAACCAGAGTAGATGGTCTGGTCACTGCTTCTATCCTCAGCCAGGTTAATTCCTCCTGTGGTCATTCTTGACATGAGTTTGTCCTTTGATGAAGAAGAACTTAGTCTTTAAATTTTTTGAACATTTAGTGTGTGTGTGTGTGTGTGTGTGTGTGTGTGTGCGCGCGCGAGCGCGTGCATGCGCACGCGCGCAAGAGCACATGTGTTTGTGTTCATGCCATTGTGCTATAGTGTACATAGTGAAGGTCAGAGAGCAATTTATGGGAGTCAGTTCTCCTGCCACATTGTTCCAGGAATCAGAAAGTTGTCACACTGGGCAGCAAGCTCCTTCACGCACTGAGCCATCTTGCCTGACCTTAAACACATTTGGTAGTGGGAGCGGGGGTAAGGTGGGGTGTAGTACTACTGATTGAACTTGGGTTTGTATGCATGCTAGACAAGTGCTCTGCCACTAAGCTGTATCCTCCATTTGGAAACTTTACATCACCTTTCATAAAAATCCATACAAAATAAGTACACTTTTTTTTTTTAGAAATCAAATAATTTTGTTCTTCTACTAAGTCCTCAGCTCAAGAACTTTTAATCATCTTTCTAAAAGCCCATACAAAATAGGTATGCTTCTGTAGAAATTGGATTATTTTTATTTGCTTGTTGTCTTTATGGACTGAGAATACAATAAACGGTTGGGGAATAAAGTTTCCAGCACAGGTTGTGATTTAAAAATGAAACTGGTCTTTGAAAGGGATGGAGGGATGAGATTTTCTTTGAATGCCGCCTAAACACAATTGCTGCCTTGCCTGCCGCCCCAGGACAAAAAAGAAAAAATAAGAGAGGTCCTAAGGCTTGCTGCCTGACATATCACTATCAAATTGTCTTTAGCAGTTTAAAGCTGCTGGTTTTAAGGGGCCTTCAAGACTCCTTTGGAAATGGAAATCATCTGTAGCAGTCATTTGGCAGAATGCCTTTACCATGCTGTACTCCACTTCCATCAATAGGGAGGAAGCAGATCTGGGAGGTGGAGCGCTGAGGGATGGAGGGGAGGAAGCAGGCGCTGATGGGAGAATGCAGGGCTTGATCAGCTTATGTGCCATCCTCTGAGTGGTCCTGATCTAGTCCACATGCCTCCGCTCACCTCGGTTGCCGAAAAACCTTCCTTGGGCTTTCTAGTGGGCACATGTCCTGTATCCTAGCACATGGCTTCCTTCATGAGTTTTCTTCCAGATTCATTTCTTGGCCTCATTCTTCTGCTCTCTCGGCCCAGACCAAGCTGAGTGCCTACTGTGTGCGTGGCAAATGTGCTCATAAAGAAAAGCGGCAGGGATAAGCTCCCTGTGGTTTTTTTCCCAATTTCACAAAAAGAATTTGGATTGTCACTTTACGAGCCATTTAGGATTTTGCTTTTATGGATGCTCATGCAGTCCTGCAAATTCCATGACTTTTTAGTGTTTGTATCTGGCTGAATTCAAGATTGTAAGCCTATCCTAACAATGCTGCGGCTCTGTACTAAAATAATAAGGCGGCGATGCCCTTTGAACTAACAGCATTGAGAGGACTTTTCAATAACAGTGCGATTGCCTGGAGATGGGGAGTTGGAAGTTTTTTGGTCTGATCACATGTGGAGTTCCGTTTGATTTTGCTCTGTCAGTCAAAAGCAATCGAGTGACGAGAATGAAGCTACTCGTGATATCATCCTTCGGAAGGAAAACCCTTTCCTGACCCAACATGGCAGAGACTCAGAGTCAGAAGACGAAGTCGCATGTCGACTGCCTGACCTTGAGAAAGACGACTTTGCTGCAAGGAGGGCAAGGATGAACCAGAGCAAGCCACTGGTGCCCCTTAATCAGCTCCTGTATGGACCTTACCAAAAAAAAGATGGAGAGAAGGCAGGTGGCAGCAAACGGGTCTCAAAGGGACCGTCAGTCAAGAAAAATCTGAAGTGTAAAAGGTGTGTGTGCATTCTCTGTGTGTGTGAGAGAGAGATCACAGTTAAGCACAGGTGATCTGTACACAGTCTCCATTCCTACTTTTCTGCCTCTGGTGCTGTAAGTTCGCATCACTAGCCACCTAGACATGTCCAACTGCCTTTCAGAGAACGGCCAACACTCAAGGGCGCTCCACTCCATTCAGAGGGGCCAGAAAACAGCCATTGCCTTCCTATTAGCCTCTCGTGTTAGCATCTTTTTAGACGGAAGGAGAAAAACAAAGCTTGTCCTTTCTTCTCTCACACAAGCAAGATCACTTGGACAAATGATGGTGGCTATTTCTCGTAAGAAGCAAAGCAGAGCTGGGTAGATGGTTCAGTAGGTAAAGTGATTCTCATGCAGGTTTAATGACTGGAGTTCCGATTTCCGGAACCCACAGACATTCCCAGAAGTAGCACAAGTGTCTGTGATCCGGTGCACTCCTAGCGACCAGGCAATGAGAGATGGAGACGGGAGAATTGTCAGAAGCTTGCAGGGCAGCGAGCCTAGCATCTAGCAGTAAACAAGAGAGCCTGTCTCAACCAAGGGGGAAAGAGAGGCTCAACCTCTGAGGCTGCCCACTGACCTCCACATGCCTGTCGTGGCCCAGGAGCAGATATATTCATACACATCAAATTATGTACACATGCATGCATGCACACGTGCCTGCACAATCACATGTGCGCACACACACATGCACATACACCCCTTCTCGGACCTATAACACACTTCCACGAGTACTGTGTGAGAAGTCATTCTCAAGTGAATTTCCTCCTCCCATCTTTCTTCCCATCATCTTGGTTCAAATGGCCCCCAATCTAAAAATGTTTAGAGACTGACATTTCCACAAGTGGAAAATCCCACCCCTGACGTCGTATGACAGGTCACAGTCAGAACACAGGTGCACTAAAGAAAACTGTATACAGATCACCTTTGGGCCATGTCCATAGAGTGTATATAAACCATAAATGAAATTCATGTGTAGACTTGAGCCCCACCCCCATGATATCTCATTGCATATGTGCAAAAGATTCCAAAATTTTAAAAATCTGGAATCCAAAGCGCTGCTGATGTAAAGTATTTAGATGAGAGGCGCTCAGCTGGTACATGTTGGGGTGAACTGAGGAAGGAAAGTTGTAGTCATGTGGGCTCTGGCCAGTGAATTATGTACAAAGAGAGCGTGGCAACAGTCAAGGCGTCTGCTTCGCAGAATTTCACCCTGCAAAATGTATCATCTTGTGGGTTTTCCTTATGTCAAAATCGGAGTTCAGATTGTATTATTTTTCTGCCCATCATTTTAGAGAGTTGAAGTCTGTGGAACTAAGAATATCGTTCTCTCTCTTGCACTTTCCGAATTAAAAGCCACTCACTCTATAAGCAAAGCTATCGAACTTTCGGTAAACAGTTGGTGTTTGTTGTTATACGTGCTTTGCTTTACTTTGGACATGGGGTTTTGTGTAGCCCAGTCTGGGCCTGGAACTTGCAAGCCGAGGCTGGCCTTGATCTCCTGTTCCTCCTGTCTCCATCTCCCAAATGCTAGGATTACAGATAGATGTGTACCACTATGCTTGGTACATACACACAAAAGACTGTTTCAGTGTGATAGACTGCTGAAGCATATGGCTGACACCGCTTTAAATTACATGTGTCGACCTGCATTTAATTTAGTAGAACAACTGAGAATATCAGTTCAGCATTCAGAAAGGTCAATAGTTCCTACCCAGAGAAAAGAGTGTATAGTCTCTCTTCTTGTGCTTATAGTAGCCAACCCAGATTAATGTATGAAACAGAGAGTGAGGTTCAATGTTCAGAATCAACCTCACTCTACTCTCAGGCCGTTGGGGGTTTACAGTTGAGATGTTCACATCTGAACCATGTTCCAGCTATCTCCAAAATAATCCTAGAGTATGGATCATGCCAAGCTCATTACTGACATTTACTGATGTAGCAAAAAGCATTCTAAGAGGGCTGAGAGACTCAATCAGAAAACTCGAGTTCATTATAGTGACTTGAATAGTGTGGGAATTGAGCATCTAACTGAAATCTCATAACCATCGTCAGCAGTCTTTAGCCAGCCCTGGCTTTCCTTCCTAGACAAGCTAGAGACTATCACAGATGGAAGGAAAAACATCTACTTTATTATAGTATTAAAGGGGTAGCACAAAGGGCTGGAAATGTAGCCCAGGGTTAGAGCACTTGCCTAGCATGTGCAGGACCCCAGGTCCCGTCCTATGAAGATGCTCACAGCTCTATTAATCCCATGTTTTGAGGAGGAAAAGGGTGTTTCTGTGGTTGCATTCTGCCCTCAGCCTCTAAGTTTCCATGCTTGACATTCTGTTTGTCTGCTCCCCCTCCTTGAACTTGGCTTTTCCAATGATGTGGGGGCCCCAATCAAATCAACAGAGACCAGGACCAACCTGAAGAGGGGAACACAGTAGTGGCCTGTGTCATGAGAACTCAGGAGACTGAACCGATGGAAACGAATTTCAGGAGAGCACCGGATCTTCAGAAGGACGACCTGGCCCAGAGGAGAATCCGGGGCAGACAGACCCCTCACCATGAGGCTCCAAGCTTCATTAAACTCTCCAGTATTACAGAAGCTGACCTAGAGACGTGGGAGAGATTGAAAGTGTCAGGAAAGACAAGGTGTGTCATGGTTTCACCCCCCCCGACAGTGGTAGGATTTAAGATGCAGAGAACTGAGCGATTATCCAGATTTCATTTTCTATTTTGATGGCTGGAAAGAGTGCCTCTCTCAACGCAGAACGTCTGGAAGTGAGCACGTTCTGCATGAGAGGAAGCATTGATACTAAAAGCCACGTTAGCAGAAAACATCCTCTTTATCCAGCTGAATTTCTAAGGGTGGTTATTTATTCTCCTAGACTTGCTTACTATAAAGAATTTCAACTTGATTTTTGAATAACTAACCATGGCACTGCACCCACAATTTTCTTATGCTATCAATTGGGGTGCTAGAATTGATGCTTTGAAAGCAACAGAAACTTAAAGCACTATTTACCAAGGCAAGAACAATGATCATCCCTTCATTTGAGTGGTTGATGGGAAAGCCATTGTGTTCTACCCACGGTAGTGTGCTTCATGTATCTAGTTTTGGCTTTCCGGCCTCACCTTGATTTGTACTTGCCTTGGGATCTCCTGGAACTGATTTCTGGTTCTGACCAGGGATGGAGATGCTCAGAACACCTGTGCCCCTGAGCCCTCACCAGAAATCAACGCAGAGATGGCCATCCGAGATGACTTTGCCAGCCGAAAAGCAAGGGCCTATAAGAAAGTATCCAGCCCCAGGCAAAAGTTTGTGCATTTTGGGCCCGTGACAGAGATAGACCAACAAACTTGGAAGCGGCTCAGCATTGGAAAGGCGGGGCCTAGGGACAATGCGGAGGTTGTCAGTCACAGCAGCCGAAGCCAGACTCTCTCCCGGTTGCCTCCCTCTACTGCTCCTTTTGGCTTAAAGGAAGACCAAATGCTTAGTCCACAGAATGACTGCAGGTACTTTTTTTTCCTCCTATGCAAGGAGGTCTGCATGGGAGTCAAATGCTGCTTTTAAAGTTGTCTGGGGCTGTCGATGTAGCTCTGTGGTAGGGCATATGCTTAGCGTGTGCTAGATCCCCAGCACCAAAAAAAAAAAAAAAAAAAAAAATCCCAAAACAAAACAAAAATAAATTCAACAAAAACCAACCATCCAACAACAAAATGCCAAGAGTTTGATGAGATACATTACAGGAACCTCCAGAGATGACATAAATTTGATAGACTCTTCCACAGAAGAGCAGAAAAACGGTGTTAGGGGTCCATCGTTGGGGAAACACGTGCGTGAGGTTAAATGGCAGGTGTCTATTTCCAGTCTGTTGTCATGGGAACCAGTACCCGAGAGGGCCAGTGATCTCCACAGACATCCTTTTTGGCCTAACCATTGAGCGCCATTTTATTAGTTGAATGACTTGAAATAATAGATGGAATATCATAATGGTACTGCCCGTGTATCTTCTGAATACATCAAACCTGGCTTGTGTAACAGCATCCCCCTCTCCTGTCTCACAGTTAGAAGGTACTTGGGAACATCATGAACTCAGTTTTGGACATCCAAGTAGACCCTTTAAAAAGGGGTTCTCCCTCCCCCTAAGCTTTCAACATGTCTGGTAAATCACAACTGGAACAAGATTGCATTCACCTCTTCCCTGGAGGCCCTCTGAAGCCCTCTTCTGGCATTTCAGGCCTGTCATCTGGTCTCCCTTCTCTTAGGCAGAAGCAGAACATTTCTCATTCTCCTGCTTCTCCTAGAACCTCCATCCCACCCACTTGGTAGGAGCCATGTGACGGTTTTTTGTTTTTTGTTTTTTTTGTTTTTTGTTTTTTTTTTCGAGACAGGGTTTCTCTGTGTAGCTTTGTGCCTTTCCTGGAACTCACACTGTAGACCAGGCTGGTCTCGAACTCACAGAGATCTGCCTGGCTCTGCCTCCCGAGTGCTGGGATTAAAGGTGTGTGCCACCACCACCCGGCCATGTGACGTTCTTCATGGGGGAAGAAAACATAGCATTCCTCCCAATACTTTGTCCTTGAGACCCAGAGGAGGTGGGAGGTGGTCCATGACCTGTAGGCAATCTCTGGAGCTCCAGACTGGTTGACATCAAAAGAGGAAAAGCTGTCCATATAAACGTGTTAGGAACACATGGTGAGGCTTCAGGGTTTCTGTGTCTGAGAGGATGGGGCGAGAAATTGCATGAGAAGTGCGGCTTTGGGTCCTCAAGTGCTCACGGGCCACTACTCAGTCCTGCAGTGAGTAGGTCATACCAGGCCCTCTCGGTGTGTTTTAGGCCTTTGGAGAACTCACACTCTACCCTCTAAATCTGATTATGTCACCTTTACTAACTGGCCGGTGGAATGACAGCCGAGGATCTCTCTTAGTCTTTCAGTCATAACCCTCTACCTTTTGTCTCCTGACACCATGCTACTTGATTAACATTAGGATAGTGCCTTATGGCACAGATGACTGTCTCAAAAAGGTCCCGTGCCTGGCGCCAGTGCCGGAGTCCCAGGAAGAGCAGGTCTGCGTTCAAAGCGACAACCCAAGGACAGAGGAAGGTGAGGCCCAGCATATCCTGCCTCCCAGAGGTGGTGGCTGACAGGCAAGCAGGCTTTTGGTGAGGCTTCTTCCCATAACAAAACTGTCCTCTTTGGCTCCAGTTACACCCACGCAGCTGCCACAGAATGGCAGAGAACAAAGTGAAGAAGTTATTCAAAAAGAGCCTGAGATGCTGCCGAGAGCCGAAAGACCGGAGGAGTGCAGTGGACCCCTGTGAGCTTCCTGCCTGCCTTGTGTGTTACACCGCCTCTGCTGTGCGTGGCCGTTGTGTGCCTAGATAAGAGCTGAGCATCCCTGTATGCCCTCAGTGCCTGAATCAGTGGGGGAGTAAAGTCACTTAAAGGGATGTGCCCGTCCGCCCGTCTGCACTAGGATTGGAGCTGTACTCCCGGAGCACAGCCTGGATGGAGATTTTAGCCTTTGCATGTGGCAGGGACTGGCTTGATTTCCTCCTCAACAATGGTGAAAAGTAGACTGGGGACCTTTCCCAAGTACCAACTGCATGACAGGGGCCTGGCCGGATTAAAAGGGGGATTTCCTATGCAGCTGCTCCATCTGCGTGCACTTGTGCCTTAATTAGTGTCCGTAAATGACACGATTGAATTCCTTTAGCAGTAAATGGTCTCTAACTGGCTGGACCAAATGTTGCCCTAAAGCATGTCCTCTGGCCTCCGAGTGGGAGCCGTTGGGAACAGAAGCAAAGTCGGAGAAGAAAACAGCTTCTTCCTGGCGTGGCTGTGGACTAAAAGGCCCTCAGAGCAAGATGGCTGATTCATGAAAAGATGTTATGATGGCCAGAGAACTGGGGTGCTCCCTAGACATCCCAGATCCAAACCGATCTAGTTTCTTTTGTATAGTAGCAGAATGTAATCTGCTGAGGGTATACCCAGGAATGATCAGAGCTCAGGTTATCCTGTGCCCCGTGACTTGATTTCTCCCGTCGGGGCCTTGCCACATGCTTTGAGTGTATTACTAATGCATCATGGTGTATCAAGGCCACTCACCTGCTTCGGCTAGAAGAAATGGAATGATTGGCACTGGGCCAGTCAGTGCCGAGTGTTTCTCTCTTTTGCATGTAAGCAGGTATGAGGTAGTTGAGTAATGAGTTTACCTGTTAACCATTCTTTTTGATCTTTGTCTTGTGGGCAGACTAAGTGAAGAACTCTTCTTTGTTCCTGGCTCACAGAGGAGCCTTTGGCAAAGGGGTCAGACTTCTGTCCAACCTACTTGGTTTTATGGATTTCAGGCCAAAGAAGACAAACAACCTTCATAAAACTTGCAATGTTTTCCGCATTAGCCAACCTCACTGCCATCTGGTGGCGGGATTTCTGTCCCACTTTCTGACTCGAGTTAAGATCCTGGAGTTCAAGGTCCTATGTGTGGAAGCTGGTGTTGTCATTTAATGAGACGAATTGTGTGTGTGTGTGTGTGTGTGTGTGTGTGTGTACGTGTGGTATACCTACCCCCATGCTGGGCAGTGAGAGAGAAGTGCTTTGCTATCTCTTAAGTTCAGGATGAAGCAGAAAGTACTAGCATTCTGCTTCTCGAAAGCCCTTGATGGCCCTGGGTCAAGGACACAGTGGGGGCCAGGAAGAGCATTAACTGATCCAAATTTAAAAAATAAGTATCCTAGCCATCTTTATAAGCTGAATTGGACCCAGAGTTTCTCTGCTTCTGGATAATAACAATAGTAGAATCATATTACAATGTATAATCTTATTACAATGATGTCCAGGGAGCAGGTACAGTAGCTATGCTTTACACCGTAGATGTGGAGTAAGTTGTGTCCTCTTCTGTGTGTGTCTGCTCTCTCTCCAGCTCACCTCTGAGAAACCACAGGCAGGTTGAGTGGATATTCTCTCATTTCACCAATGAGAGACATGACGGTCCCACTTGCTTCCCAGGTTGAGGCTGGTTAAGTTGTGACAAAGGGGACTGAGTGGCCAGCCTTGTCCTCCATTGTCACTCAGCTTCCTGATGTCCCAGCCTGAGGCTTTATTCTGGATCCCTGGGCTGCTGTAGAGCAAACCAGAGAGAAAGGAAAGAAGGAGGCGGCGCTTGCAGGCTGGGAACTGGTGCATTCTGGGTGCATTTCTGGTTTTCACACACGACCTTTGAGAGTATGGATTTCTGTTGCAGATGGGAAACCAAACTTCAGGAACTAGCCCAGAATTAGAGCACCAAGATTTAAACTTAGCTCGTGGTGGAAAACCCCTTGAAGGGAAACTTCAAGGCATTGCCTACACAAGTCACAGAGGCCTGGAAGTTCCTACCACAGTCTATCTGCCACTCATTTGTAGTTCATATTAGGATGAATAGTTAATGTAAGTGGAGAGAGCCATGAACTTTATGACATCTTTAAAAAATTTTTGGGAGTTTGTTTGTATGAGAGAGAGAGAGAGAGAGAGAGAGAGAGAGAGAGAGAGAGAGAGAGAGAGAGAGAGAGAGAGAGAGAGAATGAATGAATGAATGAATGAGAATGCCCACATGCCAGTAGGGGTCAAAGAATAGCCTGCAGGAGTTGGATCTTTCCTTCTAACATGTGAGTTACTAAAAAACGAAAACAAACAAACAAAAAACCCTCGGGTCTTCAGGCTTGGTGGCAAGCTCCTTTGCCTGCTGAGTCATCTCCCAGCCCATGCCATGCTTCTCGATCGATCGAGCCAACCCACACACTCTGAGAATTTGTGTTTCCTTTTGACAAAGGTTTACTGAGTAATTACTATGTGCAGAACGCATGGCTGAGTGTATGTCCTAGGTGAGTGGTAAAAGCCATTGTCAGCTCTTGCTTCAAATTAGTTTGGCGTACAGGGACCTCCCACTGGATCCTTGTGGATTCTGAGATGCTCTGTTAGAGCCAGGAGTTGTATAAAGACGTCAGTCAGTATCTGACTTGTTTCTGTTACCTTTCCCGATACCCCTGCCCTCAGATTGAGACTTGGTTAACTGACTCTTCTGATAGGCTGCACATTCCTACTGGCTCTGCTTCTTTGCATTGAAGATCCTTCTGAGAGAGAGAGAGAGAGAGAGAGAGAGAGAGAGAGAGAGCGCACTGTTTGATAACTGAAAAAAGCCCCTTGAATCCCAAGTGCTAATTATCTTCCTCTTACCAGCAAAGGCAGTTTTACTTACATTTGTGCCCTTTAACAGATTGGTCAGAGGAAATTCCTTAGATCCATGAGCACACAGAAAAGGGCTATAAAAGAAGGCAATCTTCAGGGCCTGTGCCTATTCCTTCCAGTGCTCCAAAATAACCCTCAGGGGCCTCCTCTGGCCACTGCTGAGGGAAGACAATCAGGAAACTTCTTGCATAGTGAGACTTCGAATTTTGTAGGAATCCATTTATCTGCACAGATGTCCATGAGTGCCGTTAATTGCTCTGTGAAGAAACAGTTGACATTCAGATATATCCCAAAGCCAACCCTGTAGAAGTGTTAGCTAGCATGAGACTGTGTGTGCACAAGTTCACTGTCCAATTATGCTCTGCTTCAATCTGACACGAATTAGACTTCCAGATAGTGACACGAAACCACACAACTGCTAGTTAGCTATTCCCCATTCATCCTCCCTCAAGAATAGCTTCTCTTTCAAAGATGGTTTAGCAGGCTCCACGTTTGAATATGTGTATTCTAAGACCTTTTTACTAACTGTAACCCAGGTAACAGAACTTATGATTGATGCTGCTTATGTTTTCTCTGTCTGGTGGGGAGGATCCTCATCATGCGCTCTGCAGTTGTGGCATTTGGGGCACACTGAGACTCTTACTTAAACTAGCACCTTCTGGAAATGCCCCTGGAGCACAGAGTGAGTCTTCCATCACAGAGGTGGAGCCTCACGGCCCTTTCCTTGGCTTGCTTGCGGCCATTCCAACAGAAATCTGGGGGTTCACCCACGCATAATTTGGACGGCGTTAGCTAGCACGAGACTGTGCGTGCCCAAGTTCTGCTTTCCTCTTAGAAAACTGTAGAACTAGTCTTTGATGTTGTCTGTGCAGACGCATTAACACATCAGGTCAGCTGAGGGAGGGTGCGTGTGTGTCGCATGCCCATTACAGTCCATTACCACCGACACAGAGCCGTGAGCGGTTTAACTGTTTGCGACCAGCCAACCATGGTGTGCTTGTGTTTTAAGCTGTCTTTTTCCAAGCACCGTGGGTTACATCTAAGCTTCTTTATGTTTACCTTGGACAGAGTTTTTCTTTGTGGGCAGCATGGGATTATTTGATTTCTCTTCTGGGTTTTAACACAAACTTTATACCCTGTGGAAATATCAAGGCTTTAGTTTTTCAGTAGCTAATGAATATTGCTATTGGTGTGATGACATTTCTCTTTCAGCATGACCAGCCAAGAAGGTTTGGTATACATGAATCGATTTCTCCCCCAGTTTGCTTTTTCAGCTTGGTCCCATCATCCACTCTCTGCCAACCCTCTAATTTTTTTTTTTATTTGATCTTGTAGATACGGTCCGAGAACTCCTGTGTCAGATGACGCAGAGTAAGTGGCGTTGCATTTGTAGGATTACATTAACCACTAGCCTAAACTGCATGCTTCCACTACTTACCACTAATTGGCATGCACCGGATGCCGCAGCCAGGTGCATGGTGGGCCCAGTCCACAGCAGACCGTGTGGGGCCACCAGGCAGAATGCATTCCATGCAGGGAGGAGGAGGAAGCAACTTAAACCTGCTGCTGATGTTGAGCTGATGCTTCAGCTCTGCTTTCCATTTTTCGTAGCTGGGCATGGCTCAAGTTGCTCTTTTGATGTGGACGTTGGTACCCTTTCTGCATTAGGAAGTCATGGAACTAATGGAGTTAGGAAAGGGGTGTCAGGAGTTTTGCAGTTTAACCCTAATGCACTGGGGCTTAGTATACACAATGAAGTAGTCATTCCTACAGTCACATTTTTTTTTTCCGAACTAAGAAAATAAACCCTAACCACTAATTATAGATTCAGAAGCCCAAGTCCCTGCCAGGTTGGAGTCATATAAACTGTGGGATGCTTAAGACCCAAACATTGGGGTTTTGTTCAAGTCCCATGGTATAGCAAGGGGTCAAGGGTATAGAACAGGACCTGGGTTCCTCTGCCTGCCACTGGCTTTTCCTCCCACACACGGGTCTCTTCCCCACTCACACCTCACATCCCGGTTCGAGAAGAATCTTAACTGTCCCATCTATGACCTTAAAACTCCGTCCCACAGCTGGATTTCCTGTAAGCAGATCATTCAGCACCAGATACATAAGGCAGAAGGGTTTTTCAGAATGATATCCTTCTCAGGTCTGAACAATTGGTCTTTTAAGGAACAGGATTTAATATTTCATTCCGACATCTGTTACACAAAAGCGTGTGGCCTGACACAGATGAATCCGTCCCCGGAAGGCTGAGTGCTGCCTGTTCTCCTTAGCCAAGGTGTCCACGTCACAGAGAGGAGTCTAAATCGGGGTGTGGAACCCACAGATGGCACAATAATGGTGTTTGAGCAGAGGAAGGACTTTAAACAGTGTTTTCGTATCATGTTATTCCCATGTTTGTGTTGAAGGCGTCAGCCTAGTTTAGACTCTTAGCCCTAAGCATTCATATTCCATCCCCAAGTTGTGATGGGCAATCTAGAACTATTTAGTTACCTGGGAGACAGAACCTCCATGCCTCAAAGGTGAAATTCAGCCTGCGCTTGACTGGCTTCACGGAGTTAAGCAGTCTCTGAGACTGAGCCCCGGGTCTTACTGGTAAACCCCGCAGTGGCAATACTTCACATCCCTGACAGGAGGAGGGTGTGAGATTGACAGGTACGACACTACTCGGATCTGGTGAGCAGCAACATTGTGATAGAATGGATTTGTTCTTAACTGATGCAAAGCTGCCGTGCAATTTGCCCAAAGCAGATCTTGGGGAACGCCTAAAAGGTGAAGGGAAGAAAGCTACTACATTCAAAGGAATTTAGACCTTCCCCACACTCGCCTCTGAAACCTCGGCCACAGCAAAGCTTAGTGGCTGTTTAAAGGAACCGGGTGCAGGGCTCCCCTCTCCAGCGTTTATAAAACTGTCCTGTGGACCAGGAAGAGGTCAAGGAACTTCTTGTCCAGAAGTTCGATTTGAGAATATACAAAGTGCCAGATTAACTGCTTAGAGCAGACACGGTTGACGTGAAGTCACGTGAGCAAAAGGTGCTACAGAGTTCATTTTTAAAGTAGAGATGTGTACGGTTCTTACCTTTTCCCCTCTCCTTTTTCCAAGTTCTTGAAAGGCAATTACTGACATAAACTGCACTGATTAATAATTGACACATTAAGATACAGCCCAGTGACAACACAATGTGTACTGATAACATGTCAGTCAGGGTAGACCTACCGTAGAGATGGCGAAACCTCCACCTTCTGGCCCGTCCTGAGTATCTCTGTAAGTTAATTTCACCTCCTCTCACTTTACTCCACTGAACATTCCTCTTCTCTCCACATGCCTCTGCCAGAGGAGCCTGCATCTTGGGAGCACCATGAGGCATTTTATTCTGAACTTTTTTACTCCAGACTTTTGCCTCAGAAACCATCTTTGGGTGCCACCAGAGGCAGGTCAAAAATGTTCGCTTGCGCCCAGCTGAGTCTTGGACTCTACAGCCAGCAACCTGTGTCCCAACAGCCTGGGACATAAGCATCGGTGCTGAGGACGGGTGGGGTCCAAGTCACAGTATTCTGGAGGATGGTTTCTCCAGAACGCCTCACACCATCTCTGCCCCACCCCACACCCAGACCCACACTTCTGCATTCAGATGTGAAGTTCAGCCTCTGAACTGAAGAACATTTTCTAAACGGTGACTTGGCCCATTTTCTATTATTGTCAGTTTTCAACTTTTTCAGTTCCATTTTTTTTTAATAATTAAAAAAGTCACAATTTTCTTTCCTTTCTTTTTTCTTTTCTTTTTTTTTGGCAAGTTGTTAGAATTTCTTTTAAAATAAAGGGATAGGGATGAAGTTGTTAGGATTTCTTTTAAATTGGGGGGAAGGGGGAAGGGATGGTGCCTCCTGCTATAGGAGCAGGCAAGTGAGGACCACTTAATTATGGGGCCTTTGGCCGCGTTTGGGCTGGGGTAAGTCAGAGCTTCGAGGTGGGAACAGAGATAGAAAATCAAGGCTGAGGAAGGCAGCCTTGGAGGCCTCTTGTTCCCTCCACGAACAGCTAGCGAGTGGGCTGAATCCCACACCTTGGAGAAGCTGGCTACTTCCTTCCCACCCCTGCAGAAGCCACTGTGTAGCCGCCTACTAGGCAAGCCAGAGTTCTGCCCTTTAGAACTCACAGGCAGAGAACCAGAGGCCTCCTCTCTCCCCTCACCTTGTTGACTGCTTGGTCCTGTAAGACACTCAGCTCAGAGACGCTTATACATCCAAAGGCCTTAGTAGAAATTGTAATCTGCCTTAAAAAAATAACTGGATGGATTGGATATTTTAAAGGTAAAAATTTCCCTCTCCTCGCCCCCCCTTAACTATAAAGTCCTCCCCCACCCCAGCCTTTTAACTCTAAAGTATATGAGTTTCAATCTATTTCTACAAAGCCTACTTAGATGATTTTTTATCTTAAAGTTAAAAAAAGCAAAACAACACAGGCTAGACTTTTCTTCTTAACCCTGTAAATTCCCAAACCTTTCTTAATATCAGTAAGTAGTGTAAAATAGATGAAAAAGACCCCAGCCCCTTTTACCCTTTGAGGGGGAAGTTTATTTTTCTACAAGGCACAGCTTTGGAAACCAGCATTCCCAGGAGAGAAGGCAACAGCAGCTAGCTTCCCACTGTGCCCCTCGTCACCCCTGTACTGACAGAAGCCTCAGATTCAAAAGGAAGTCTTTGCAGTTGGATTCCTAGAACACTCTGGAGGAAGATAGTCTTTGAGTTTTAGGTCTCAGATTAGATTTTAAACATCCAGCACCTGGAGAAAGGGGCGAGGAAGCCAGCCATCCATGCAGATCCATCCAACAGTGCTGCTGCTGTTTGCGCATCCCTGACCGTGTCTGGGATCCATGGTTGCCAAGCGCATGGCTTTGTTCTTGTTTTTCCTAGAGGTTACGCTGGCTTCCGCAATGGATTACCGCCATCTTCTACACCTAGGGACCTTCAAGGTTTCTCCATTACTTCTTGCCTACGCAACCCGTGTGATCCATTCCGTCTCAGAGCCTATAGTTTCTTTAAGGGGGGTGGGGTGGGGAGGAGGGCTTTGCGTGGCCCCTACTTCTGTGTTCCCTGCTGCGTCAATGCTTGCTCTTAACAGGTCTGTTGAGAGCTCCGTGTGTGGGCTTAGGGAGCTCCCACAGAATTTATCAACCACACGCACAGCCAAAAGATTTGCTTGTCTTCGTTACCTGCCCTTTTTGCCTTCAAAAGTAAGTTAAAAATATCCTGACAAAAAAATAAACCAAAACGATTGTAAACACATTAGGGTACAAAGTGTACCCCGATTTATATATTTATCCCATCCGCTTATTACAGAAGGCCTTATTTTCTTGATTCCAAGATTACTATCAATTACATAACTGTATAGAGAAGAAAAAAAATAACCACAGCATGCCCAGCATCAGTTTAAATATGAAACAGTGGGTGTCTTAATCTTGAGGCCCTATGCTTTTTTTTCTTTGAAAGTGATGAAGAAATTGTCTCTGGGCATCTAGATCAGGCCAGCCCTCTCTTTTCACCAAGAAGTTACACTGCAGTGGCCATGTGCCGGTCCCCACAAATTCTCCCTAAATTATATACCTTTAAATGAGAAGCGTGCAGGCCGTCAGATGCTTTCTCCTAGCCCTCATCTGGCACCTTTCTAGAAAGCTGCCCCCCATTCAGGGTCATCGATGAGGACAAAGACATCCCCTCGAGGCTGTGCTGCTGGTAAGACTGCTTCCCGTTGCGGAGCCGCGAAGAGGCAGCGGCTCTCAGCCCGGTAGCGCCCCCAGGCGGCGATGCTCAGTGGCGAGCGGAGCCTGCAGCCCGCCCGCGCTCGCTCGCTCATCGCGCTTGCTTTTTGTTTTTGCTCTCTCTCTCGGCGGCATCAGGAGCACGAGTATGTTTGACATGCGGTGTGAGGAGGAGGCAGCGGTGCTGCCGCACAGCAGGGCCCGCCAGGAGCAGCTGCAGCTGATAAATAACCAGCTGAGGGAAGAGGACGACAAATGGCAAGATGTGAGTTCCGGGCCAAGGCCGCGGGCACTTGGGGAGGGACTCAGCCGACCACCACCGGGCTGGGAGGGTAGACTTGGACTTCAAAGGCCTGCTGGGGAGGGCCGGGCCGCCCCGGCATTACAGACGGAGACACATCAGTGGGAAGATGAAAGGAGGGGTCTGTAGGGACGTGGAGAGAGGAGAACCTGACGCTCGTGTGTATCAGCAGGTACTCTGGACCAAAGCTTGGTCACAAAGAGAACGGGTGGGAGGCAGGCGACGAGGATAAGCACAGAGCTGCCGTGTGCTGTCCTTGAATATTCTGTGTTTAAGACTGATGGATGACTACGGTGACTGCAGCTGTCAGCGTTAATTGGACCAGTAGCAGGCACTGTTCTAAATGCTTTGCTCTGGGTCATCCATCCCACCCGTTTAGTAACTCTGTACTAACAAGGGTTAGCTTCCGGCACCCACAGATAGAATCCCAGCCCAGCCAAACCACTGCCCAAAGTTCCACAGCTAGTGAATAGAGAGGCAAGATTCAAACCAGGAAAAGAAGGTGCCAGAGGCTGGTGAGCGCTTGGAGGTAGCGTGCTGAGAGCAAAGAGCTACTGCAGGGCGAGCCTGGGCTTAGCAAGGAGAGAGGATCGTTTTATTTGCTTCTCACAGAGCAGGCAGGGCCCCTGCTCCTCCACCATTAGTCAAAAAGTTAATTTCTCCGAAGTTGGCACAGTGTAATGACAATATGTCTATCGGTCTAGCACCTTAGTGTGTCGGGGCACATTGAACCCCACGACTCGTAAGCAGAGTCGGAACAACCGCCCCCATTTTAGAGAAGATAAAAATGAGTTCAGAGAGGCTAGGAAACCGGACAGTGCGGGAGCAAGATAGAGCCAGGCTGTTTCCCACAGCTCCAGCTTGGCCCTCAGACCCAGAAGCCTCACCATTGTGCTGTAACAACTACCTGTAGGCAGGTCCTCCGCCACTCCTGAGGATGCCGAGGAATTCACACCTATAGAAGCAATGGGTCTGTGGGGCTCAACTCCACAGCCACGTTTTTTCCCCCACCTTTACTCCCATCCAAGAGAAAACTGTACGTGACTCCCTCCCGTTCTCTTGCCAGAATATCTATTTCCAGTGCAGAGGTGGGGATAGAATAGAATGAAGGTTACCTCGTAAGACAGTTCTCTCAAATTTGCCCATCAACGTAAAGGATGATTGCATCTACCACACCTCAGTGTTGCGGTAAACAGCTGCCCTGTGGATGATCGTGTGCGCACTCTCTGCTTCTTTCCCTGCCTTCCAGACATCCTTGTTCCAACCAGACCTTCATGGGATCGTGTGGAAGTGTCCCCAGCACAGCGCCTTGGCGCTTACAGGTCTATGAGTCACGGAAAGGGAATTCCGTGCAGGCTGAGAAAGAACATGGTATCTCTCTCTCTCTCTCTCTCCCCTACCTCAGGACCTGGCTCGTTGGAAGAGCCGTAGAAGAAGTGCTTCTCAGGACTTAATCAAGAAGGAGGAGGAAAGGAAAAAAATGGAGAAGTTGATGTCTGGAGAAGACGGGATAAGTGAACGCAGGAAAAGCATCAAAACCTACCGAGAGATTGTCCAAGAAAAGTGGGTCTTTCCCTTGTCGGGGTACAGTCGTGTCTAGCTGTGCTCTTTGTAAGCATAGACGTTTGCTATCACAAAGACTCCAGTGCTGCTACTTACAGTTTGGTTTTACTCTACCTTGGTGGGGATCTTTGCAACCCTCCCAGCTGCTCATTCATTGCTCTTCTTCCCGTGCCCCACCTTGCAGAGAGCGGAGAGAGCGGGAGCTGCACGAGGCGTATAAGAACGCTCGGTCACAGGAGGAGGCGGAGGGGATCCTCCAGCAGTACATCGAGAGGTTCACCATCAGTGAGGCTGTGCTCGAACGCTTGGAGATGCCAAAAATTCTGGAAAGAAGCCATTCCACGGAGCCAAACTTGTCCTCCTTCCCGAATGACCCCAGCCCCATGAAGTACTTGCGGCAGCAGTCGCTGCCCCCACCCAAGTTCACTGCCACGGTTGAAACCACCATTGCTGGCCTCCCAGAGACCAGCGCGGCAGGCGGCAGTGGGTCTCCAAGCAAAACCATCGCTCCCCATGCAGTGCCTATGCTGACACCCAAGCCTTACTCGCAGCCCAAAAGCTCCCAAGAGGTTCTGAAGACTTTTAAGGTAGGATGAGTTCTTTGAGAGAAAAAATGGAAAGCGAACTCTGGGTAGTTTGTGAAGAGAAGCCTTCCTGACTCGAGAAAAAAAAATGCAATAATTTTTATCAAACAAAAGCCAAACACGTTAACACTGACAGTAATGCATTTATATTTCAGGCGATTTGGTCCACAGATACTTAAGGGATGGGCGTTCCTCTCAGTACTGTTGTTACGCTTAGTGGAATGACAAGTCTTCTCCATAAGCAAGGCCTAGTCCTGGTTTGTTGATGATGTGGTTTCTCTTAGAGCAGTGTAAGCAAATCCTAATTTAGCAATACTCCATATCTGTAGTTATCGGGATACATGGCAAACTCAAAGTGTATTTGCTTTTGGTTTAAATAGAAGAATACACAGCTATATCTTAAGGAAGAAATTGACACTATATCCAAAGAGTTGCTGTGCTTGGGAAAGATAACTAACGCAAGGCCCACATGGTAGCGTGGGGCGTGTCCATCATCAGATAAGACAAAGCTTTTCTTGAGCGGTAAACTGCTGTATTACTGAAGAGTGTGTTAAATCATTTTCAAGAACCAAAGACTCTTTGGCAACCAAACATATTTTCACTTGCTCATATTCCAGTGTCCACCTGTACTGTGGGGGAGCATTCATCCTGAACCCTAAACTCCTTTGACTCCAAAGACAAATCGGTTCACATCGTCCTTGTACCCTCCATGAGTTTTGTAGTAGATGTCAAAAGTGGACTTCATCACTAGTAGTTGTTGCCATTCAGACTGGTGAGAAGTTTGCCTAACTCAACTAACTGAGAGTGAGTGCAGGGGACCTTTATTTCAACTAACCAAGAGTGAGTGCAGGGGACCTTTATCACTGGCCTTCAGAGAGACCCCAAACCTACCTTCTGACTTAGGTTGAAATAAATCTAAATACATCTTTAAAATCTGTATCTTAAGCTTTGCTAGCATAAAAAAAGATGAATGTCTGTCCATTTCATCCAGATTGAATTAAAATGTTTGTGCCTTGTAGGGTAAGAACTGTATTTTTCATGGCTCCATCTGAAGAGCCTGACATAAACAAACACCCAGGACATAGTAGGCATTCAGCAAAAGTAAATAACTTAATTCTTCCTGAGATTAGCCATAGAAGTTGAAGACTTATTTACAATTTATTTGTGTGTGTGTGTGTGTGTGTGTGTGTGTGTGTGTGTGTGTGTGTGTGTGAGAGAGAGAGAGAGAGAGAGAGAGAGGAGAGAGATCTGTGCCTAGCAGTGTCCTCAGTGGTTGAAATATTTGAGCACCTTCCTTCACCTGGGGCCAGGATGCTGGATGGTGTAACATCCGATGAAAGCATTATATCGAGGTGGCCCAGACAGAGGTGAGAATACATTTCCGTAACTGCTATCAAAGGCATCCGATCACATTATTTAGATGTCCACTTCCCCTCACTTACGCAAATGGTGCAACATGACCACGTCATGGTTAAGATAGAAGAATTTATGACGAAAGTTAGGTTCTGAGGAAACCTTGTCGTTTCTGTTCGGCAGCCTCTCTCTCCTTCACTGTGTGTATAGGGCAGTGGGGGTGTATGCCCACAACAGCAGGACACTTTCTCAAAAATAAGTGAACAGTCCTCGTCAAAGTGACATGTAAATAGGACAGTGGTTACTAGATTAGGGAGGTGAGACAGCTTAGAAAAATGTGCACACGTGTGTGTGTGTGTGTGTGTGTGTGTGTGTGTGTGTGTGTGTGTGTGTACATGTGCCCACAACAGCAAGACCTTTTCTCAAAATTAATGAGTAAATAATCTGTAGCATAATTTTAGAAAAAAAAAATAAAGGAAGATCAAGTGATGCACTTCAAGCATTGGTTTTCAAAAACAATCTTGTTTGGGTTTTTGTCAGTTTAATGGTTTAGAATCACCATTTTGAAAAATGAAGTGGACAAGAATACAATAGAAAAAAGTCACACAGATCACACTCAATAAAGATAAGCATACCGTTTATCTGTCTCCACCACATTCAAGGTGTGTGCTGTTGTGGTGTCAATTTCTTTCTTTTTTTCTTTTTTTTTTAGTTTTTCGAGACAGGGTTTCCCTAGGTAGCTTTGGAGCTTGTCCTGGCTCTCACTCTGTAGACCAGGCTGGCCTCGAACTCACAGAGATCCGCCTGCCTCTGCCTCCCAAGTGCTGGGATTAAAGGCGTGAGCCACCGCTGCCCGGCTGTGATGTCCATTTCTTACAGGTGGCAGGCGATAAAGCATGGTGGCCAGTAGCACAAGGTAGACAGTCCAGCCAGTGTCCGGCCTTCTGTTGTTTTTTTCAAAAGATTTTAGAAGACTTACCGAGAACAGGCAGTAGTGCTAGGTGTTGCTCCAAGTCCTGAGCACGCTTTAGTCGTCCAACCCCACGACAGCACTATGAGGAAGGTCACGTTGTGTCCAAATCCGCGTTTTTACACACACAGTCAGAAACCTGCTGGAGATTGCAGAGCTGCTGAGAGGTAGCATCAGAACTGGATCGGAGGTCATCTCACCACAGATCATCGGCCTCAGACAGAGGACGGAGGTTTCCAGAGGCCGGCCGAGCCCCCCTTTCCCTTCTCACTCTCACTGCCTCCTCTAAATATGGAGTGTGAAACAAACACGTTTTAGTGAGCACAGGCTTTTTTCCTCTTGAGGAAAAAAGTAGAATTATAAAACTAAGTAGAAATGAGATTTAGTTTTGTAATACAACATATCAGAATCCTTGCCCTCTGTGATAACTTTACGAAATACACCCCATCTCTCCACTCCAAAGTAGCCTGTAAAATGTTCTTGATCAGGTCCCACTTCATTGGTATGCTAAGCAGAAAAAAAACAATTTGACTTGTGGAATTGCCATCACGGCTTAAATTGAAAAGTGACTGAAACCCAAATATGTGGCGTGTGTTTAAGACTCCCTGATTTTTCTACACTTTCAAATGAAAGCCACTGTAAATCAGATGAGCATGAAATGTCATCCGGTCATGATGTGACTGACAACACCCTTACAGATGACATTGACGGAAGACTGACTTCTCGGACCCCTGATTCCTTTTTGAGATGGGGACATACACAGAGAATTCTTTAAGGCGATTCAGAATGTGTGTTTGGTTATCATCTTTGGTTGCAGAACACTGTGTTTTCTTGTTCATCCTGGCCTTTATAGGTAGATGGGAAAATCAGCATGAATGGAGACATGGCCCACGGAGATGAGGAAGAAAAGGAGAAAGAAGGGCCAGCGGTGGAACCGGGCCCCTCCTTAACCAAGTCCCAGATGTTTGAAGGCGTGGCCACAGTGCATGGTTCTCCTGTTCAAGTGAAGCAAGGCAGCAGCAGCATTGAGATCAACATCAAGAAGCCAGACTCCGCTCCCCAGGAACCAACAGTAAGACGCATTGCCCCTTGGGATAATTCTGTCATGGCTTTTGCAATAAGTAGGTCATGACAACGTTTCTTTCTTTCTCCTTGAGTGCATAAGTTGGCTAGAGCTACATAGCATACAAAGTACTATAAACTACAAGGCCTCAACAGTAGAAATCGTCTCGGTCCTAGTCAATAAAAATCCAAAACCAAGGTATTACCCTTCTGTTGGCAGTGAGGGGGAGTCTGCCCTAGGCCTCTCCTCAAGCTATTGATGCTTGCTGGAAATCTTACTGCCCAATGTATGTAGATACATCACCCTAACCTCTGCCTTCTTCTCCTCAGGGCTCTTCCTGTGTGGCTGTGCCCAAGTTTCCTGTTTATAAGGATATCAGTATGGCTGGATGCCTACTCCATTAACCTTAACTAAATTCAGCTAAAATAACCCTATTTCCAAATAAGATCATATTTGAAAGTTCTAAGGAAACCCAATTCAATCTAAAACAATAGGCTATAATTAAAGATAATATAATTTGAGAACAATAAATTAACTTTTCTTCATATTATTGGCCTATTGTGTTATAGGAAAACATGTATCTTTAAATTATCCTTTTTCTCTGTTTGTTAAAGGCATCATTAGACTTGTTTTTATGATTTGAAAATAGCTAGTACCGATCTAGGTGTGGTGGTATACACCTGTAATTCCAGCACTTAGGAAGCTGAGGCAGGAGGATGGTGAGTTTAACGTCAGCCTGGGCATCATAGTGAGACCCTGTCTCAAAATAAGATGAGTGGTGCTGTCAGAACCTGACTTCTTATCTTTGATGATGTATCTCTGTCTGTCTATCTGTCATCTGTCCATCATCTATCATCTACCTATTTAGTATCTATCATCCATCTATCATTTATCATCTGTCTATCTATCTTCTATCTACCTACCTATCTGCACACACACACACACACACACACACACACACACACACACGCACGCGTACACACACACACACATGTTTTTATTAGTTAAAAACCAAAAATTCGTTAAAAGTACAATTAATTTGTGTTAGCTTCAACTTTTAAATTCAAACTCGTCTAAGGCAATAGCCCAGTCTTCAGTGAACAAGGCAGAAGGAGTAACTTAAGAAGAGCGGCCATGAGAACCCAGAACGGCGCCAGGTTTGCCCCTTTGGCGTGTGACCTGCCATCAGGAACTCAGGCTGGTTTTGCTTATCCAGTCGAAGCTGTCACCTGCACAGGGACAGCCAGGGTTTTGGGATTCAGGCCGCCCTCACTAGCAGCCAGCGTCCTACTGTGCTTTGGGGTTTGTCTGATAGTTAAGGATGGATAAATAGTTGAGGTTTCCTCTCCAGCTCCTCAGAAGGTTTGGTCTGAAGGTAAACTTGTTTCCCACTTCCTCCACTCAGCATGAGGTACCCCCTTGCCAAACCCACACACTGGACCCGATAGCTTCGTCCTTTTAGCAGCCCTATAAGTTTTGTCAGAATTGTTGAGAGGATGTCATTCTCCCCACAGCGCCCCCACCCCACCCCACCTCACCCCTCCCCACCCCTCCCCACCCCTCCCCGCCCCATGCGCTGTGACAGAGACTCACACGGGAAGAGACCGAAGTCACTTCTTCACCAGGTGTTGTGACCCAGGCAGGTGCTCATCTCCTGTACTGTAATTTTACTTCCGCTTTGTGAAGCTGTCACCACCGCTGGGGACACGTTACAGAGAGGCAGGACTGGGGGAATGAGTTCTACTACCAGGAAGGGAGATCTTAACTAGTCAGATAAACATTCACTTCTGCTCTTACATTTAAACTAGAACCCCCACCCCCCACCCCCAATAATGAAACACTGTGGGGCTGGGCTTGCTTTTCAGAAAAAGTTAGCAATTCTCTCCCCACTCCATGGTCCTCAGAAGCATTTTCGAGATTCCCTTCATTCTTAAGTGATTATACACTTAAGAAGCAGCATCCATCCTATGAAATAAATCGTGTTATTTCAGAAGTCTGCGTGTCCCCATAAGAGGAACTCCAAAGGAAAGTCGACCTTGCAGCCTTTCTTCCCCACAGCCAACACTATCCTAGGCAGCCTCAGAGGGTAGATCCAAGCTCATGGGCAAGCCTGGGGTTTCTTCCTCTTGTGTAGTTTTTCCTAGTTAGGATTCATGTCTAATTGAGTAAACTTGAGTCCTGACAACAGAGGCTGACATTTATGATCTCTAGTGCTTTTAGCTCTTAAACTTGATAGGAGTTATTCCATTATTTTCTGAGTGCATCTATCTATCTATCTATCTATCTATCTATCTATCTATCTATCTATCTCCCTCCCCAACTCTGTTCATGCATTCATGCGTGTGTGCATTCATGTGTGTGTGTGTGTGTGTGTGTGTGTGTGTGTGTGTGTGTGTGTGTGTGTGTGAAGTTGTTATCTGTACTATGTGGAATTTTGGCTCATTACTAAAAAGTTCTTCACTTACACTGGTTACTTAAGATTCTAAAACTTGCCGGGCGGTGGTGGCGCAAGCCTTTAATTCCAGCACTCAGGAGGCAGAGCCAGGCGGATCTCTGTGATTTTGAAGCCAGCCTGGTCTACAAAGTGAGTTCCAGGACAGCCAGGGCTACATAGAGAAACTGTGTCTCAAAAAACAAACAAACAAAAGATTCTAAAACCTTTCCTCTCAAGCGTGTTATCCCCGAAGTCATCTTAAAGGAATCCCTTCCCAGAAGTTAGTCATTTGAGTCATGCCTGTTTAAGGAGCTCATTCAGGAGGATTGTTGCAAGTCCGAGGCCAGCCTCGCCCATGTAGTAAGTTCCTGGTCAGCTAGGGAAACAGTGAAACACCATCCAAAAATTAATAGATAATTGTTTTTTTAAAGAAGAATCAGAGGCTGGGCAGTGGTGGCACACGTCTTTAATCCCAGCACTCAGGAGGCAGAGGCAGGCAGATCTCTGTGAGTTTGAGGCCAGCCTGGGCTACAGAGTGAGTTCCAGGAAAGGCACAAAACTACACCACAAACCCTATGGGGGGGGAGGGGAGGGGAGAAGAATCAGTTTTTTTTTTTTTTCAGAAATCTTACTCTTTTATTTACTTCCTTCTCTGTTATTCCAAAAAAGCAAGCAAATTGAAGACGTGAAATGAATTGATCCTAGTGGGGAATGGTGGCCGTCTTGAGACAGAATGCTGTACTTCCATGCCTCCTAAGAACTGGTACCGGGTTGGACTTGACTTTTCTGTTTCTAACTCATTTTCCCAGTTCCGTGGGGCTGTCAAAAGAATAGTGTTCTTTTTAAATAGTGTCTTTCTTCCAAAAACTGCATTCTCAAAGGAGACACCCTCTACAGAGGAGTAGCCTCACCCACCACTAAAATGTCACAGTTGCTTTAGGGCAAGTTGGAGCTGTACAAAGGGGCAGCAGTAGGCAGGAGTGTGAATTCAGAACGTGAGGTGAGCCACAAGGAAGTGAGGCCATGATGCTCCCACTGGGTGCCCTGAAGTGGGAGTGGTAGCCTCCCAGGCTGACATGGGTACTTTTTAGGATGACACGTCACCTCTTTCAATTTTCTTCAACTTCCTCTTTCTCATTGGATGCCATTGAGACAATGATTTTCTTCTTTTATAATTAGATTGGAAGGAAATCTGGATCTGTTCTGATACCTGGGCTGTATCTACCTAGACCATCCCATTTCAGACCCTCCTGATAGGCTCAGTTGTATAAGATTAGGAGTATAATGTTTGCATAAATGAACTGGAGAAGGGCATCCACCAGTATGTAATCAGATGCTCGGTTATAGACTAAGGACACCAGAGGACTGTAAGATGGCAAAGAATGGGTAAAATCAGTGTAGAGTAGGTGTGGTCTGGGAACGTTTGTGTGGGGTGTGGGCTTTGACCTTGAAGCCTGACCTTCAGCGTGGATATTCACATCAAATTAGAGGAAAGATGTGGCTGTTCCACATAATGGGAATATTAGAATCCAAGGACCCAAGAGGGTTACCAGGTAGTGCTGGAGACTAGCTGCTATCCTATTCCGGGCCAAGGGATTCATTCCCCTCTCTCCCTGATACTTGTGAGATCTTTCAGAGTTTAGTTTATTTCTGTATCTCTGTTAGAAGCCAAGTAAAAAAGAGCTAGCCCCTTGCATTTTAAAATGCTGGCTTCTGTTAGAATACCATGTCACAGCACACATGCAGGTTCCTAGACTACAGGATTGGAAAGGAAATTGAGAAATCTTCCTAGTGAAGATTAATCTATCCTATGTTTAGTAGCCTATATTGAAAGACATGCTTTTGTCTTCATGATGTTTAATACTGATTGTCAACTTGATAGGTCCTATGATCACCTAGGAGACAGGCCTCCGAACATGTCTACATTGGGTTAACTGAGGTAGGACGACCCCCTCTAAATGTGGATGGCACCATTGTGTAGTACTGACTGAAAAGGAGAGAGGGAGCTGAGCACCAGCGTCCATCTCTGTTTTCTGACTGTGGGTGCCACATGACCGGCTGCCTCAGACTCCTGCTGCCGTGACTTGGCCGCCATGACAGAGTGTATCCCCTTGAACTATGAGCCAAAAGAAACTCTCCCTCCCTTAACTTGCTTTTGCTGTGTGTTTTTATCACGAGGGAAATAACTGAGATAGTCTCCCTCAAAGCTGTCTCCATGGTGGTGGCCGTGTTATTTGTTTTTTGTCCTTTGGCCATTTATATTTCAATTTGAGTCTCTTCCGTGCTTGGTGGTCTGACAGTGATCCTTTCCTGAAATACCCCAAGAACACCATGCATTAGGCTAGACTCTACTGAACACATGTAAGTGTCTGACCTTGGCCTGTATATAGAAGGCAGTTAGTAGACTAGCATTGCATACACTAATACATGTCAGATGGTTATTGTGAGAACGCGCATCTGCCAGGCACTTAGCACAGTGCCAAGGCGACTTGTAGACCGTGGGTGCCCTTAGTTTTGATATTGCCATGCAGCAAATGCAAGGTAAAATAGCACTTCTCCCCCGAAACCCCAAATT